CAAAAAAAAAAAAAAAAAAATTCACACATATATATATTTTGTTTTCGGTTCTTAAATGTTTTTCTTTTAATTTAAAAAAAAAATTACAAATTATTTTGTTTAATTATAAATTTTCTTTTTGGAAATTTTTTTTCTCTCTCCTTGTATTCTTTGCATATTTAACTTATTTTATGGGTTCTATGTATTTGAATGTTATTGCGCAGGAAATAAAACTTATTATTTTTCTTAACTTTCTTCGTTTATCTCTCTTTTCTTTTCTTGTCGCTATATATATATATATATATATATACAGGGGTCTGTCTAGGTTTTTTTGAAAGGTACCTATTTTGTGAAAATTAAGACATAATTTGTGAAAAATTAAAAATTATATTAAAAAATCAATACAAAAACATGGTAAAAATATAGATTTATCGTTTCTTAAGGGATACAAAAATAAAATTTTCAGAAAAAGTATTTCGTGAAACTACCGTTTTTCCTAAAGTTGAATTTGTGAATATATATATATATATATATTGCCTAAAGAAAATGTATATGCAATTTTTTTAACATCATTCTTAGTAAAAATTTGAATATTTTTACTATTAACATCTAGTTGTAAAATTGTATACAAAAGGATGTGTATGTAATTCTAAATTTGCATCTAATACATATCTAAAATTGTAATTATAAAGTAAGTAGAAAAATTTTGTCATAAAGAACTTTCTTATGAGCAAATTAATCATTTCTTTTTGACCTCGCTTTTTGCGTGACAGTTTTGTTTATTTATTTATATCTTTTTTTAGATGTTATATTGATTTTTCCCAATTTTACCCGTGCTGTGATCAACTGTACTGAATTTGAACCTGTTTGAGAATAATGTTTGATATGTCTAAGTTATAAATTGATTGATTGAGGGGGTGGGGTTTAGAACTACTTATTTTCACTTGTTTTAGTTTTTGTTTATCATTTAACGAGATAGAATTCATTCACTTTAAAATGATTTTAACCGGCATTTAGTCAGACTTTATTGAGTACCTTTCAAAATCAGAGATATAGGTCGATGGCAAAGTAGGCCGGTAGTTTCTTAACAACTTATTTTATGAAAGAATGACCTTGTCGTGGACGAATGCAAACAGTTAATTTAGTGAAGTGCATTATTAAAGTTTCACTTTTTTATTTCCCAATTGTTCAAATTTGTTGTAAAATCGCCTACACCTTATTCTTGACCTCTCTTAAGGGGGGACACCGCCGTGATTTTCTCTACCGATAAAGGCTCTTTTTTTTTAAAGCAAATTTAGTGCTCGCTTATAATAAATAGAAACATATATCTACATATACATAATTTTATATGTTTTGAATTATTTTTAAAATAGCGAACTAAACGCGTGTACTATTTAGCTTCCTCCGATTAGATGCGTATTGCAATATGTATATTTTTCAAATGTGAATTTAGGTTAACCGATAATCTTGCGCTAGTTTAAAAGGAAACTTTCAATGCTAGATTCCGTTTGTATGTTAGTCAAATACGTATCTCAATATGACGTCGTTTTTTTTCCTCCTCCAAAATATTTATTAAATAGATGTCGGCAATATTTTCGCCATAAATAATCGAAAAAGTAAAATTAAAAAAATTATCGATTTCCATCGCCACCTGCCATAATATGCCGTTGAAATAGCTATTGCCCAAGTGTGACCTTAAGAACTCCAAAATTGTTTATTTTTTAAATAAATTTTGAAATTTTTGAAATTCTATTTTCATTTTATAGCCCTATTTTTTTCGAACGGCTTTTTAATATCTCTCCTCCTCTCAGCTAACATTTAAGGTATCTGACTGGTTTCAACACAATTTTTTATTATTATTATTATTATAAAAAAGGCTTATAATTAAAACTGTAATTTTATTTTTGGTAAACAGGGGTCCAAAAATTATAAGTTTAAAGTAAAGTTTAAGAATTTATAAAATATTTTTCAAAATAAGGGCAAATTTGTGCTCAAAATCTACAAAATTTTAATGTCATCAGGGGTCTGTTTAGAAGAAATTTGGGTCCGTAAACGGACCCTTCACAAAATATCTTTTCATAAAAACGGACCCTTCACAAAATATTTTAACTTAAAAACGGACCCTTCAGAAAATGATTTTTCTTTTAATCGGACCCTTCACAAATTTGTTTATCTTCATTATCATTTTGTTAATCGAATAAACCCTTTCCAGGGCAGAAAACAAGAAAGATGGATGTAAACGAAATTAAGTTTTGTCTTCGGCAGACGATTCTTCCATTATTCGTCCGAAATTCTGCGTTCAGCAGTATAGGCTAAATACCAAATATTTGTATGTTGCATCTCTAATTTAGATGGAGCAATTGTTGTTTATTTTTTAAAATTTAATTTCTTTACAATTTAAAAACTCCTTGAAAATTTTTTTTTGCAATAACGGACCCTATTTGCACAAATTCATAAAAGCGGACCCTGGTTGAAAGAATGTGAGTAATTTTTTCACAATTTCTCGAAAAACGGGCCTTTCACAATATGTCTGGACAGACCCCTGGTCATTCTAACTACTTAATAACAAATTGTAAAGCATACATTTCGAAATAATTTTTTTTCCTATGTCAATAACATGATTACCTGTGTTTTGAACTAAAACCTAAAAAATTTCAAAAAGGCAATAAAATAGCGCAAAATATATATTGTTTAATATTGAATTTTTAAAGAAAAATTCTAAATATTCTTACTTAGCTCCACACGAATTACAAATTCATATTTAAATCTTAGCTTTACTTTAAGTTCAAAACATCGATAACATTATACAAAATCTGCATACAAAATTTCAAAGAATTCTATAATAAACTTTTATTTATTTATTATTTTTTTTGTAGTGTGTGTTAGCATAAAGAAATTTTCTCAAAATCAACGTTCTGCAGAAAATGCATTTAAAATGCTAGAAAATAAGGTTGTCAGAATCAAGTTGTCTTCATGTTAAATACAAGAACAAAAGAATTATGATTCGAAAATTATTTTTATTTGTCTTAAAATATAATTTATTTAAATCAAAAAAAGTCCAAATAATCTAAGCATTACCGAAAACATTTTAGTTTCGTTTTCGGGATTTACTTTTCGGTTTTAGTTTCGGCTGTCTGCATGTGAACAAAACTGCTCTAATTTCATGTTTAAAATTTAGAGGTGTTTGATAAGCTAATGAACTAAAATTCAAATATAAAAAATGAAAAGAGGAAAGAAAAAAAACGAACTTTTCGTTTGTAATTGCATATTTTTGTCCAGCCGGATACATTAAACTTTAAGGTTGCCTTTAAGGCTTAAAGGCATCCCTTTTCTACACAAATTAGCACCGACTAAAATTAATACTTAAGTACAGACGAAAGTTTATTAACGCCTTCCTTCTCGCTCCCCTGAAAATGACGGGGTGAGATTTCGCCCGCTATATCTCGCTCCCGTGATATTGACGGGCTGGAGTGTTCAGTAGTAACGCGCCAATAAGAATAGAACTAATTAATTTCTTTTGTGCGGAAAAAATTTTATTTCTCATTTTACACACCTGATGGCAGTAACAGGATATTTTTAAGGTAATTGTAAATAGTTAGTTTATTTTAAAGTAGTTGCAGCACTAATCAAATACGTACCTAATACAAATACAAAAGCCAAAAAAAATAGGTACTTTTATGACCGTTTTCTTGAAAATTAACCGATCGTTAAGGAGTTAAAACGTGGGAGCAGGATTTAAAATAATAAAAAATTATAAAACCGGTTTAATTCTTGTATGAAAGTGAAAAGCCATCACATCTTTCCTTTCATCTTTCTTGGATTCGTTTCCTACTGGATTTCTTGGATTCGCTCACAGTTCCTGCCTTATTAATGTTTACACTTAGCATGCAGATTTTTAGGGATAACTATTCCAAATAACACAAAAGGCAGTGATTACAAAAGGTCATTTCATCGCTCATAATATTTTACTTTAAATAATAAAAAAAATCAAGCTATTGAATTTTAATAATTTTAGTATTTTATCCTATAGTATTGTATTTATTTTAGTAGTTCATTGACATGTTAGCACATTAATTAGTTGTTATAATTGTAATTAGTTGTTATATATGTAATTAATATTCATCTAGTATTCATATTTATCATTCTTTTAGCAATGTTTTCTGCAAGTAAGATGTGAATTGAGATTTTTGAGGGATATGATTTTAATTTTTTATTTTCTTTCTTTTGTTGTGATGCTTATGAACTCGTATTACGTCTGCCAAAACTAGCTATTGTTCTGGTGTACAAGTATTTATTTATATTTATGATATCAATTTAGACTTGAGTTTTGCAATTGTTATTAATAAAACAATTTTATTTCTTAAGTTACTTTAAAGAAATGTACATGTAAAACAATAGGTCTCTTTTTTCTATTTATTTTCGTCCATTTATTTATTTTTTTTTTTTAATCTTTCATGACTTAGAAAACTACTAGGATCTCTAAGTTTATTTTTAAAGATGATTAAGAATGTTATACTATATAGTAAAATTCATGCTATAAAATTAAGCATCCTTTGAAATTTACTTAAGTTATCTGCACTTATTATTTTTCATTATAATGAAAAGTAGTTAGTTAATTAAAAAAAATAAATGTTAAAAAGTCTTTCTATTAATTGGGCAATTTTACCATGGAACTTTTTCGGGGTGGAGGGGCATTTTTGAGTAGAGTTATGAAACACATAGTTCCATATTTGATATAATATATAAAAAAGGTATGTTGAAGGTTATGATTTTTGACTTTACTTTTGAAAACATGAGCTAACCTCAAATAACGTTAATGTAAATAAATATAAAACAAAAACACTTAAAATCTTAATGATATTTTATGAACGTAACAGTTATTGGTATATAACATCAAAATAGAGCAGATATAAAGATAAAACACCTTTAATGTTATTTATTATTTCTTTTCTTTCTTTTAATTTTTTTATCTTTATATTATGAAATTGTTAGTAAATGAAATTCTTTTCTTTTTTTCCTAGGGTGATTTGGCAAAGAAGAAAATTTATCCAACCCTTTGGTAAATAAATTTTGATTGACTATAAAATGTTTTAAAGTTTATTGCAATTCTAATTTATATCAACATAAATACCAATGCAGTTTTTAATATCCATATAGTTTTTAATATCAAGACTCTGACATATAGTCAATAATAATAAAGTTAAGGAAACAACAAGAGGGAATTATTTATTTATTTATTATTGAAGCAATAACAGCTCTGGTTCTTAGGTTCCTATGAAATGTAAGAAGCCAATATAATTGTAATAGAAAGAAATGTTAATTGGTTTTTATGTGCTTTATGAACATGAACAATTTGTCAACCAAGTGTAATTAACCTTCTAAGCGTTTCGTATTTTGATGATTTTGTATGGAAATTTCTCTTCAATATACGACTTTTTAATTGAACAACAAATGTAAAAACTAGTTTTTCAGTTGGCACATTCATTCAAATTTACATGGAAGCATCAGATTTTCAATCTATTCTTCTGTTTTACAGTTTTTAAATATTAATAAGCATCTTTTTGATGATTTTGAACCTTTTTTTTATAGGCAATATTAAGGGTAAATTCTTGGAAGGTGTTATAAGTGTTGAAAAATCAGTTTTTGTCTTAAAAGCGTCTGGTATAGTACAGAACCCGTTATCCGGAAATCAGAAAACCTGAACGAAATTTGTTAAATTTTCCCGCCATTTGTAAAAAAAATTTTTTTTTTCTTCCTCTTAAGATTTTAGTATTTTTCTTTCTTTTTTGAAAGATGTTTACCCTACCATCATTTTGGAAATAATCATTAGTGTATTACTTCGTTTTTTCAAGATTATTTCCAAATATTATTATTTTTTAGTTGGGTTTAACAATAAAAAAAACGGTTTTTTGGAGCGATTCAGAAAACCGGAAAAATCAGTTGTCCTGAATAGCGATGGTCCCAATCTTTCCGGATGATCGGTTCCCTACTGTATTTGAAAGCACAAGAAATTTCTTTAAAAAGGAAGTCAATCATATTTAGTGACATAAAGCCAGAGGCTGCGTGTGTACTCAAGAAATTTTTTGTTTTTTTCCTTTTTGGAAATTAAAGAAAAAAGATAGCTGTATTAAAAAAGCAGCTGTATTTCAAATAAATAAAAAAATCTCCAAAACCACGAGACTCAAAGAAATTATAAAGCTCCAAAAAGATGAGATTTGTACTTGAATTCCGTAATTGCGAAGGCAAAAATTAATGTTTAAAATAAATAGCAATAATAAATTAGGCTGAAAACCTGATTTTTTAAAAAATCATTTGCTTTAAACAAGTTTTTCTTCTTCTGTATTTTAAATATTATATAAAAAATAATGTAAGGGTGGAAGACAAAATGACATTAAATGGAGTAGCCATTTCTAATTTATAGCAAAAAACAAATAAAGTAAAAAATAAATGAATAAAAAACTATAATTGAAATAAATAAATAATTAAAATAAATAAATAAATAAAAAAAAAAAAGAATAAATCAGTATAATTATTCGTTTTTGATTACATTAAAATGTTATTTAAAATTCGAATATACAACCTTTAGTTTATCGCAAACATCTTAATTTTACATTTAGTTTTATAACTTAATTTTGCATTTGGCTTAATTAGCAATTGCTAAACTGGAAACATAATATAAGAAAATTTCGTATGGCTAAATCTTGATAACTTAATGCCTAAAGCGAAAGTAAAACAATTTTATTCTGTTGAAGAAAGCCTGTGCTAACTAACCGTTTTTATTGATCAGCATCTTTTGTCTCAAAGGGAAATAAGTGGGCGAACTTTATATTTCTCTAATATATTTTATTAATATACTTTATTAATATATTTAAGTGATTTCTACTGTAATAACTAGACAATAGCAAGCAAATAGAAAATAACAAGCTCAGCTCACTTTTTGTCTCATAATGAAAAAATAAATAAAAGTTATTTAATTGAAACAAATTTTTTTTCTCTCACAATTTCGTGACCAAGGATATGATTGTGGTCAGTATTGTACACTACCCTCTCCATTTCTCAGACAAGCTGCTACCCATCATTCTGAAGATGGGCAGGTTTCAAGCTGTAACTGAGGTTTGAAACCTAGTTCTTTACGATGATAGTTTAGTGCTTTTACCAATGAGCCATCCATTGCTGCTTTGAAAAGGATGTATTGAACCAAAATTAGAAGTAGCTATGTTTTTAAAACCAAACATTTGAAGTTTTTAGTATTATCATCCTGTTACTCTGAGCTGTTTTGTGCGATTATTCAGGTAGAACTTTTAATTTTTTTATCATCTAGTTTTTTTTTCCTAATGAAATTATTATATACTATAACTTCATTCCTAAATCTGAGTAATTTACCTTTTTTAGGGCTCTTTTTCGTGATGGATTATTGCCAGGAAAAACAAGATTTGTTGGTTATGCTAGAAGTAATATAACAGTTGAAGAAATCAGAAAAAAGTGTGAACCATACTTAACAGTAATATGCTCTTAATTCTTCCTTGAGATTTAATTGAATGCAAATGTGTGTGTCATGTTAACAGTTCCATTTCCAGCAGCTTTGATATCTGAAGTTGCTCTTCTGGGTATTTCATTTGTCACCTCATAAGTAAAACTAGCTTTTTCAGATTTAATTCCTTTTAAAGCATCTTAGTAAATTTTTAACTTGAATGGTTGAAGCCATCAATTCCCTGATCTTTAATTTTTCACCAACTGTGCAAAAAAAATAAAAGAAATAAAAATTCAAGTTTAATTAGTCATTAAAAAACTGTTAACAGGACCTAAAAAACCTACGTGCAATTTCAAATTACATTTTCAAATGTTAAATGTTTGTTAATGAATAAGATGAAAATTAGGAAACTCATTATGCTTTGAAGAAAAACACTATTTAAAGTTTCCTAAAGTATTTCTTTTATTTGCAGATAAGGCAAAAGTAATTTTGAAATACTAAACTATTTTTATTGGAAAGTGAAAGTACCAATAAAAATTCATAATTTAATATTCACAGTGGATCAAAATTATCTTTCCAACTTTGATTTGAAGTTTTGAAGTGATTTTAATGCAGTAGTCGGTGTCTATCTCTGTTGCAGTTTGCAAAAGAAAAAACTAGTAAAATTTTTAACCATTTTCTCAAATATGTGGGCAGGGATGCAGAAAATTCTCTGAGTCTTACTTAATATTTCCCCAGAATGCAGTTTTTTTCTATTAGTTACTATTAAGTAACTTGTTAGTAAAAGATATATAAAACTTTTACTAAGAAAAAGTTACGTAATAACTTTTTGAAATACTTTTAAGAGGAAAGTTTGTATGTTGTTAAAGTTTTTCATGATAGTAATAATTAATTCATTAACAAAGAAAAGAAAATCAACTTTATGGAATTCTTGAATCAATTGGAATATGTGTTAAAAATGATAGAAATCAAAATGGATTAAATTAAGAATAATTAAAAAAAATTAATTTAAGGTTCTCTCATAAATTTAAGGAATTCAAACTTATAAATAAACAAATTGACTTATGAAGTTATCTATGTTATATTTAACATGACAGAAAATATTTTTGTTTCATTTTATACAGTAAATTGATATGGAATAAGACATCAAAAAATATATTAAATTGAACTTAAAAAATGTTTATTTTAAGATTTAGTTGAAGACTTACTTTTCTATCTTTCTTCAGCTTTATTTGTTAAAATGCTATGTTTTTATATCAGCTACTGGATTTAACGATAGTCAGGATGTTCTAATTAAATTTGCTTTAGTTAAAAAGAAAGTCAGGAAATGTTCTCAACTTGTTGAAAATATTCAAATAAATTCATAATTAACAACCTTCCTCCTTATGTATGCTACCTAGGTGTTTTACACACTTACAGATATTTTATACAATGGGTAGCTGATTAAAACCTTGTAAAATGATATTTTTACATATGAGTTAGGAAATTTGCATCCATTATGCAAATGTTTGTCTAAAGACTCTTCTAAAAGGTTTGAAGCTTTATGTATTGGAGGTCCTTTCCATAAAATTAACACCTTGTGGTATAATTATGTGGTACCTGTTACGCTGAATGTTCCGATTGTGCAGATATGTAATTTCTGGAATTAGAAACTGTTTGAAATTTTTTAGAAACTTAATGGTTTAATAGTGTTTCTTCCAAATGAAAATGTTCCATGTGCATTTTTTTGTTACTAAATTTTTGATATGTATTCCTGTTAAATTAAATTAAAAAATTAAATAATAAACTAAAGTTTTTATACACAAAAATTTTTTTAAAATTTGAATGAAGGAAAAAAAAATTTCTTTTTCCAAAATAGGTGGCGACAAAAGAGTTGAAACTAGTTTCAAGAGTTAATTAATATTATGATAATTAAGAGTTAATTATAATTGCTTGCAGAAAGTTTTGTAATTGAGATTTTATGTTGCAGAAAGGTTTTCATTTTATCTAAGTCTGCATATAACGTACATACCAAGCTCTCCATCTGTCAATCAGAATTGATTTTACGTGAACCAAAACTGTGTCACTTTTATTTTAACCACTCTATATACAACTTTAATATGAAAACTTCTCTTCATTTGGCTTACTAAGTTTTAATAGTTATATATTAATTATTTAAATATTTTAAAACTTAATTTTCTGAAGGTTAAAGAGAAAATAAACTTGGTATTGGAAGATTTCAATGATGCTAAGTAATGAAAAAGTTATACCATTAGTTTCATAAATGTTTATGAAAATTTAATGAAATGTGGATTATCTTTTCTTTCTAATCAAACTGAATTTTATTATTTCAGATTAAATCCGACCAAGAAGGAAAGCTTGACGCCTTTTTCAAACTGAATGCATATGTTCAAGGCTCATATGATAAAGCTGAAGATTACGTAAAGCTGAATAAGGAACTAGACAAACATTCACCTGCCAACAGACTATTTTATTTGGCATTACCTCCCACCGTGTTTGCTACTGTAACAGAAAATGTCAAGCTGAATTGCATGGCCCCAAAGTTAGTTTCTTATTCATTTCATAAATTTTGACATGCCTTTGGGAAATGTAAACTGTTTTAATTATGTAAGAAATGCAATTATTTCTGTATAATTTCACCTTAACTGTCCCAAAATGGAATATTTAATGTGGTACTATAGAGAGACAATTACAAATAAATTGTAAATGCTTTTCTGAACTAATTGTAATTTGGGAAAAACTGAAATGTTTTTCGTTGTCTGTTCAGATCCATTTTCAGTGGATTCTTTCTCATGTTTATAATGAGATTGTAAGCAAACTGTCTATGGTAAGTGACACCATAGTGCTCACATGCACTGCACTATTTCTGTGCCTCTGACATATTTGGAGATTTTTTCCAAAAGTAAACTCAAGAGTAAAACCAACTGGCTTGTTCCACCAATGCACTTTTGGTTTCAGAGTTATTATTGAGAATAAATAATTGGCACTTGATTGCAGCAGGCTAGATCAAACCATCACATCCACTTCCTCAGTATGCATCTATTACCTTTGAACTATACTAAGGGCAAGCTTGGATTAAGTGTACGCGGGGCCTCTCGCTCTTCGGGTACGCTCTTTACGCAAGAACCTTCTTCTATGTTGGAGCATAAACAAACTTATTGCAATTTGGAAAAAAATAGTTTAATCAGTAGGGGGTTAAAAAAATATGACAGTAATCCATGTTGGTTACTCCACAACCGTCTCAGATTGTTTTATAAATCTTTTCCACTGTTAGTTTGACGTCTGTACAAATTTAGTTCATATCAGATCAGATTGTCTTTATATACATGTTTATTGCTGGTATTATTGATTAAATTATAATCAAAAATAGCACAAAATAATCACCACAGAAAGTGGAATATTTTTTGTCATCAAGACAAATATATTAAACAAATAGATGTAATGGCTTCTTATTATAAATATGATGCTTTCATTATGTTAGGAATTTGAATGTCAATAATACTTAATCAATAATAATAAATAATAAACTGTAAATAATTCCTTCAGATGCGTTTTATATAAATTTAGTGCTGACTTAAATATATATATATATGTATCAAACGATAATTTTTGTTGATCAATATGTGGTGATATGTTTCACAGACCTATCAGCTGTTTCACAACCTAATACTGCCCCTGAGACTGAGAAAAATTATGAAACAATTATCTTTATTTTTGCTATCACTGAAAATCAAAAATTTTTCGACTTTATTGCTCTTGGAGCTAATCATATTCATTAAGAATTTTTTGCGTGACAATTTTTAATCCAGTCATAAGATAATGTAGAGAAAAAACAGTAATAGTTTGAAAGAATAGTTGTATAACATATAAAATAGTCTTACCACAAAGTAAATATATATGAATGTTTAGCAGGTTATAAACGTTTTAAAATTACTCTTCATATTTTAACAGTTTAGAAAATTACTGAAAATTATTTATCTTAGTGTAAGATCAGTGAATCTTTATTTTTCTAATCATTAAGAGTATGACATTTTCAAAAGCTTTTTATGTTATGTTGACGCTGTTTGGTGCAGTTGTGTGTGGATGCTGGGAAAAAATTCCTTGATTAAATGTTCCTTAAAAAAATGAGTATAATAATCTAATCACTGAAAGGAGGGGAAGGACAAATCAAACTAATTAAACAATAAGAAAAAACATTGACAAATTTGAATGATATTTAAGTATATAAATTCATTTTTATGTAAGTGTTTGCAGAAATTATTTTTTTGTAAAAGTTATTATTTCCAATAAACTATTTTTTTTTCTTAAATGTAAAAAATATTAAAAGTTTTAATGATAAAACTTCTATTAGTTTTGTTTGAAAGTTATTTTTCATTTTTCATAACTATTTTGCATAATCCAAGTGTTCACCTAATAAAAATTTAAATTTATTTTTAAAAATAAACTAAGCAATCTAGTAAAACTTTTAGGTTTTTGTGTACTTAATCCTCGATTGAATGCTCCTGTTTGCTTGGATGTCTGTGGCTGTTTATCCTCCCCCTCGGCACATTTCATAGAGAACTTTTTGTCTAATAATAATTGTTAATTTTTAAGTTTTCATAAAGTTGTAAGTTTTTTTTTCATGAATTTTTATTTTTCAGAGGGTGGACTAGAATTATTATAGAAAAACCATTTGGAAGAGATAGTGATAGTTCAGCAGAATTATCTACACATCTTGCATCATTGTTCAAAGAAGAAGAAATTTATCGTATTGATCACTACCTTGGAAAAGAAATGGTGCAGAACTTAATGGCTCTTAGGTATGATGCCTGTAAAACATACCCATAGATTGTTAGTTATTTTTTTATGGAGAATAATGTAGTATGTCATTTCTATACTCCTTCTTAATGAAATATCATTTTTGTTATTCTGCAAGTTCTCAGGAGCAGAGTATTTTCTAATGTTTTACAACAAGGCTCTTCAAGTGCAATATTAGCAACCGAAATTTCAGAAACAAAAAAAAAAGAACCTTACTTGGTGGAATATCAAGTTATGTAGAACCACCTACTTAATGAAACAAAACTTATAAGGCATTAAAAGTTGTATAGAAACATTGTAAATTATTATAATTTTGTCCTCATTTGTGATCCCTAATTTAACTTAGGCGGTCACATTTTAGCAGTTAACCAGGTTTGCAATTGCAAACATACCAAAATAAAAAGCTTAAAATAGAAAATAAGGAAAAATAAATTAATAAATGAGGTTATTTTATTAAAATAAATTTATATTTTGAGATTTACCCTGCATGTTAGAATGTTGGTTCTTGTTTTAGGATCGTTCAAGCATGTCTTATTAATTGTGATACAATTATGCTGGTACTAAAATAAAATGTTGAGTTAAAAACTAGAGAAATTTCTATGTTGAGTGATTTTATTTATTTTATACTAAATTAAGGAAAAAATTATCTTGTCTTTTTTGCTGTATGGGCCAAAATAGTTATTCAAACTTCTATTAATGACCAGCTTCTTCAACAAGATTTAGATGAGTTCATTTTAACCCCAGTAATGGTCTTCTGAAAAAGGTAGATGATTTATTAACTACTTGGTAAATATGGTTAAATTTATTTGTCAATGCACTTTGTCCAGTCCTAGTTTTTTGAATTTATTATTAATTTCCCAAATAATAGAGATTAATGTCAGTCAATGACAGTTAATTGTCAGGAAAGTATATCAAGGTTTGTTGTTAATTTATTACTTTTCTTAACAGACTTGTGCTAGCTTTTCGTTCTTCAGGATTTTTATCAAAGCCATACAGTACCTCAATAGTTAATACCTAGAAATAGAAAAAGTATACAGATTGTAGAAATAGTTATACAGTTTCTAAGAACTGATCCAAAATTGGTGTTTCAGTTTGTTATATTTATTTGGTGAATAGAATAATTTGACAAAAGGTATTAAATAATTAAACTTCTTATTATGGAATATCTAATTAAAATATAAATATCTGTTTATCTAAATTCTAGCCATTCAATTTTTATATATGCATTTTCTGCATTAATAATAAATTTATTTTAATTTTAGTACCTTTTTATAGGAGTTGACTTTTTATTATTATTATACTTTTGTTCTTTCCTAATGCATTATGTGTTCTTGATTTTAGATTTGGAAACCGAATTTTTGGTCCTATTTGGAACAGAGAAAATATTACTAGCATAATGATTTCTTTTAAAGAACCCTTTGGTACCCAGGGCAGAGGAGGCTACTTTGATGAGTTTGGAATTATCAGGTCAGTTTTTTTTCTCTTTATCTAATACACACTTGTTGAATTTTTTATGTTGCTAAGTTGAATTAATATACATAGATGTGTTGTAGTATTTTTTGTATGTTAGTTTTAAATATGAGAACAAATTTTCTTCACTTTTTGAGAACAAAATGTTTTGCAGAACATTAACAAGAACTCAAAGTCATTATTTCAATTTGAATTTCTAAATTTTTTTCTATGAAACAACATTACGCAAAAAAAAAAAAAAAACATAAAATAATCCCAAAAAAACCTGATAATTAGATTTTTTTTTAAAAAAAAACTTTAATTGCCATGAACCCTACAACCAAAGATCATATTTCTTATTACTAGTAGATCAGGCAGCATGATATTTGTAAAGTTTTTTTGATGGGAGGCTCCTTGTAAAGATCCCAGGTTAGCATATAATTCAAATATGTGAAACTTAAATGATATATTTCATAATATGTATTTAAAATTTAAATATTTTTTGTCATTTAGGGATGTGATGCAAAATCATTTGCTGCAAATTTTGTGTTTAGTTGCTATGGAAAAACCTGTAACAACATCTGCTGAAGACATTAGAGATGAAAAAGTAAGATTCTTGATTTTTTTTAATCGAAATTTTTAGAAGAAATTTTCATTCCTTACTTCTAAAATGTGAAGTTGCTGATATATATTTTATAACATTTTTGCTTTAATTTATGTTGGAAAAAATTTCATACTTATTGAATTAATTATTATAAAGTTTTAAGCTTTGAAACATTTTTAAAATATCTCTTTATATTATTCATATGCTTTTACTGAGTGTATAAACTAATGCCTAAATTTTGAAACATATTTTATTAATATAGTCAAGTCCTGGTTAGTTGAAACAAATTAATGAAATATTTTCAACTAATTAATTTATTAAAAGGTTTTAAAATGAATGAAGTCATTATTTGTTTCTACAATGTTATTGATTAATATAGTTTAGGTTTTTACAAAAAAAAAATTTTTAGATTACCTCTAAAAATTTTTTTTAGTTATGTGTCCGGTGATGTGTGTTTTAAATATTTTGTATTCCATGATGCATCATGTATTAACTTTAGGATAGAATTATTAGAATGCTATTGTTTTTAAAGGTGTTTTATCATTACAAATATAATATAAAAAATCTTGAATATTCAAATTTTTTTGAGAGAAACTTAGAGATAAACCACTGAGGAAAGGTCATTAAAAACCTAAAAATTTGGAAATATTGTATATGTGACTAAGAAAAACTGAAATTAGTGATTGTCAACTTCCTTCAGTGAATATAGATATTCACATTACAGACTGACTCCTAGAATGGTTAAATTTTGATTACAATGTTAGTGAAACATTTTACAGTACAATTTTACCTTTCTTATTGTTAAATAAAAAAGTCTTTTAAGTTAATTTTCCCAAAGTATGTTGTCTTTTTGAAAAATATGCTTTTTATGATTTCTTTGTTTATAGTTTCTGTCCTTTTTTAGGTGAAAGTTTTGAGATTTGTACCAGAAATCAAATATGAAAATGTAATTTTGGGACAGTATGTTGGTGATCCTAATGCAGAGGGTGATGCAAAATTGGGTTATTTGGATGATGATACTGTACCTAAAGATTCAGTTACTCCAACTTATGCTATGGCTACTTGTTTTATTAATAATGAAAGATGGGAAGGTGTTCCTTTCTTTTTGCGTTGTGGCAAAGGTAATACTGTGCTTTTTTTTCAATGCATATGTCTGACTTGCCAATTAATACTTTAGGCCTGAATCTCAGGCTACCAAAATATTTTCTCAAGTTTCTTTATTTTGTTTCTTATAAGTGTATGAATCGCAAGACTAGTGCACATTTTGCATACTGCTCTTAAAACTTACCTCCTTATCAGTAATTTTGCAGTTCAAGTGTGCTTAGTTTATTGTTAATCTGTTTCATTAAGATTACAATATTTGAATTTAAAATATTAGAAAGGGTATCTGCGCATCTGGAAAGTCATGAATTTTAGTATTGAGCAAAATTTGTCATGAGATGTCATGATTTTAAAAAATTTTTTTAAAAAAATCATGGATTTAGGTCACCAAAGAATTTTATTTTTAAAATGGAATCCCCTCCCCCCCCCAATTTCATGGTGTTCCGAATAACTGAATTTGTAACAAAATCCCTACTCAGAGTCATATTTTATTGAAATATAAAATGTTTTTTATCATGTTCTTTAGAAATATAGCGTTCTTTAAAAAAATGATAGAAAAAACATAATTTCTAGAGTGAAGTATCTTTTAAACTTCTCTGATTTCAGAATTAATATTATTATTTTTATTTTATCAATTTAAAATTCTAGCTGAAGCAAGCAAAAAAATCAGGAGTATTTCTTTTCTTTCTGATGAACAAGAAAAGTATCTTTAGAATATAATTCTGCAGAAAAAAAGAAGAAAAAAATTAATTGCTCAGCTATTTTATTGCTTCAAATCTTTCTTTACTCTGTTTTTTAAATTTAAAATCAATAAATATGAAGATGCAGCGTATAACAGTTTNGATATTCACATTTCTTTGAGAGAAACTTAGAGATAAACCTCTGAGTAAAGATCATTAAAAACTCTTAAGTAACTAAAAATTTGGAAATATTTAATATATATGTCACTAAGAAAAACTGAAATTAGTGATTGTCAACTTCGTTCAGTGACTCCTAGAATGGTTAAATTTCTATTACGATGTTAGTGAAAACTTTTACAGTACAATTTTACCTTTCTTGTTATCAAATAAAAAAGTTTTTTAAGTTAAGTCTTTTAAGTTAATTCTCCTACCTAAAGTATGTTGTCTTATTGAAAAATATGTTTTTTTATGATTTCTTCGTTTATAGTTTCTGTTCCTTTTAGGTGAAAGTTTTGAGATTTGTGCCAGAAATCAAATACGAAAATGTAATTTTGGGACAGTATGTTGGTGATCCTACTGCAGAGGGTGATGCAAAATTGGGTTATTTAGATGATGATACTGTACCTAAAGATTCAGTTACTCCAACTTATGCTATGGCTACTTGTTTTATTAATAATGAAAGATGGGAAGGTGTTCCTTTCTTTTTGCGTTGTGGCAAAGGTAATACTGTGCTTTTTTTTTTCAATGCATATGTCTGACCTGCCAATTAATACTTTAGGCCTGAATCTTAGGCTACCAAAATATTTTTTCAAGTTTTTTTATTTTGTTTCTTATAAGTGTATGAATCACAAGACTTGTGCACATTTTGCATACTGCTCTCAAAACTTACCTCCTTATCAGCAATTTTGCAGTTCAAGTGTGCTTAGTTTATTGTTAATCTGTTATTAAGATTACAATATTTGAATTTAAAATATTAGAACATGACATATATAGGAAAAGTCTAGACATGCCAAAGTTCAAATTATAGGCTTTCCACTAACAATAAACTTTCTAGAACATTTAATACCTTTAAAATTGCATAAGCATATTATCTTGAGTAATGTTTTATGCCTTTCATTGGTAAATTGTAATCTCAGTTCTTTAACTTGGACCGATGTAGGATATTCCAGAGTAGTTTTATTCACAAATGTAATTTTTTTTTAAAATCATGATTGAATTTTATACTATGTAAGGAATTCTGTATTTTACGTAAGAAATGCTCACATTCTTTTTTGCCTGCAACAATAATCAAATTTCAAATCACTTATTATGTAATGGATGTGAGAATCTTTAAACTAAATTATAAAAAAAACCCCAATAATAAGTCCATTATAATTTTTTCCATTAAGTATTGAATTTTGTAAATGAAATATACTGTGTAACATATAGTATTTTTACTAATAACAAATAAAGTTTAAATATAGTGACTGATATTATCATTTTATGAAAATAACATATTATGATGTTAAGACATTGAATTTGAATGAAAACAGTTACGATTTTGACACCACACTTGTATGGCCTCTAATGGTAGCAAAGCTGGATTTTCTGTTTTAGTAGGAAACATTATGATTCTACTTTTTTATTGAAAATAAATAAATCTTATATGTATATTCCTTATTATAGCATTGAATGAAAGAAAGGCAGACATACGAATTCAGTTCAGAGACGTACCCGGCGACATTTTTCACGGACAATGTAAAAGAAATGAATTGGTTATTCGAGTACAACCTGGTGAAGCTGTTTATGTTAAAATGATGACTAAAACACCTGGAATGTCATTTGAATTGGAAGAAACAGAGCTAGATCTATCTTACAATAGTCGATATAAAGTACAAATGAATTCTTTTAATTTATAACTGACTTGAAAATAATTATTATTTTAATTTTATATATAATAAGTATTTTAACCTGGCAGTTACATAATAAATCTTTTAAATAAAATTTTTTCATATGCATACCTTTCAGGTATTTGTTTTTTCCTTAATAAAAATCTATGAGGGTTAGCATTTCAACAGTGTAGTGGAGTTCTGTTGGAAAAGCCTTATTTAAATAGTGGAACAATTATATTTTGTAAAAATAATACAGTGTTTTTTTTCGGTTTAGTAAGTGTATTATTTTTTCTATTTTATCTGATCGTCAGTGCTTGCTGTTGAAGTGTATTATTTTTAAAATAAGTGAATTTCTACAGTTGAATTACAAATTAAATTAAGCTTCAGATCATTTTATTTTTAGATGTATGTGGTTGTAATCATTCCTGAGATTCCCTTTAATTACAGTCATTTTCTTGTTTGGTTTTCTTTATATTCAGTTTTGCTTCAAACATATTTTCTACCTTATTTGAATTTGTTAATTTGAATACTTATTTCATACTGATGCAATAATAAATAATTAAATATAATGTAATATTTTAATATACCTGGATATTAAAATATCATTTGTTAAGAGGGTGATGATTTATTAATTTTAAATGCTACTGAAAATAACAGTTTTAATTATATAATTAACAACTTCAAAATATTTACTAAACTTTTAATTGTGCCCTTTGTAGTCGAACAATTAGCTGTAGAACAATACCTTTTGCAATTTATACAACACCTCTAATAGGAAAATATGAATTTCTTAGTATTTTTACTGTACAATTCATTTGATATTTAACAAATTAAATTAAATAGCGATTTTGCTCTGCACATAAATAAAAACTAAGTCTTCTCGTTTTTAAAAATCATGAAAAAGAAACAAAAAACAAATCATGCTTAATCATCCTCATAAATCATGCTTAAAAATTTCAGCAAAATGTTGAATTACAACCCAAGTAATTTTTTATGAAGTCTGAACTGATCTCTGTTCCCTAAAGTATACTCTTAGTTACATTACATCCTAAAGAAAAGTAAATAATATACATTCATCTCTTGAAAATAGCTTTTATGTATGATTCAATTGCTTTTCTGCATGGTCTAAAATTGCACATATGGAACCACAGATAATATACTTCGATTTTTAATTAATTGTCTAACATTGAATTTTGTTAAATAATCCATTGCATCCTAAATAAAATGTATTTTAAATTTTCTCTCAAAGAATTAATTTGGAAACAATAAGTTTTAATCAGATTATTTAAACTTATAGAGGCAATGGGGTGGTAGTGTTTGGATTTGATTTATTATTTTTTAAAATTTTATAAGAGTATTATTTTAAATAAATTTCTATTAATTATTTCATTGTTTCTTTATAGGATTTAATTATGCCAGATGCATACGAACGTTTGCTTCTAGATGTATTCTGTGGAAGCCAAATGCATTTTGTTAGAAGTGATGAGTTAGCAGAAGCATGGCGTGTATTTACACCATTATTGCATAAGATTGAAAACGATAAGCCTAAGCCAGTAAAATATATATATGGAAGGTAATCAATTAATTTAGTATGTTTTTAGAAAATTAAAAATTTTGTGCAATGTTTATAAAATACATGTCTATAGGTATCTGTTATAACTGTCAATTTAACAATAAATATTATACGTTGACCTTCAATTTTTGAGTTTATTGTTTGATAAATTGTTTTTCTGTATTACTTGTTTATGCAATAAAGTTGGGATAATTTAAATTACTTAATTTTTTTGAGATCTATTATTTTAAAGTCTAAGTTATTGACAGTAAAAGTTTAACCCAAAAAATAAAGAAAGAGAAAAATTAAGTCTAAATTTAGATGAAAATAACAGTACCTATAACTTTTACATTATAATTTTGCATTATTTCAATTATACCTATTTAAATTTATGTTTATTTATATCCAAATATTTTTAAGGTAAATATGTAGTTAGAGTGTTTAAATATTAACGATATATTCTGCCAAGAGTAGTTTAGAATAATTTTTTTGTTTTCTAATTTAAATTAATTTACTTTTCATTTGATATGCAACTGTTAAATTGGCTCCCTTCCCTGGCTTTGCATTTTATGAGAAATTTTAATTTTACGTGTGTTGAACTTGAATTAAAATAACTATGATTTTGTTCTGAGATTAGTTTGTAAAAAGAGTAAAAAAAACCAAAGAGAAATGAATAATCTGCAACTCTTAAAACTGCTTAGGAAGAAAAGGTAGCATGCATAGGTTGGTTAAAAGTTTCTTTCATTTTTTTTCAGTCGAGGTCCAAGTGAAGCTGATGAATTGGTTGATCGTTTTGGATTCAAATTCTATGGTACTTACAAATGGCTTAAAAATGACCCATAGGAAATGCTGACAAGTTATTACAGTTGTATTTGCATGTGTGATTTTATACTGCAGGATTTTTTTTTAATGAAATTAATAATATTGTGATATATAATAATGCACTAATGAATGATTTGTGCAATTTACAATTTCTTAAGATCTAAGATGATTTCATACTTCAAATCATGCTATATATATTATTTATTATACATCATTTCTTGAATCTGCTTTTTCATTTCGCAAAATATAGCTTTGCATTGATAATTACATATATTTTATACTGTGAATCATATAAGAATTTGATTTTAATTATTAATATTTTAATTGTTTATTTGATCTTTGAAAATTACTTTTTTTGGTTTAATTTATACAATTGTTAATTTTTATGATTTTTTAATTTTTATTTAGAAATTTTAATATAAATTTCAGTTTTAGGAACATTGTGAAAGAAAAAGTTTTTGAAAAATTTTTTTTTTTGCTAATTTAATTTATACTTTTAATATGCAGATACCAGCACTCAATATTTATACTACAAAGGATATAAGCGTGTACTTTGCAAATAACATGCCCAAAACTCAGATATTAATTATTGAATCGGAGTTATATAATTTTTTTGTAAAATGACAGAAATATTTTAATTAAAAGGTTGGTAGAAGGGCAAACAATTTTGGCAGTTAGAAAATATAAACTTTTATTGAATATATTCTGTATGGAAAAAAAATTTTTTTTTTTGAATTCTAAGCTTGAATAATTTTTATTGTTTCTTTTTTGTTACATTTTATTTTTTACATTTATTTTCATAAAAAGCAATAACTTTTATTAAAATGTACCAAAATTACCTATTTTCAGTTGAGTTGATTTAGTAAATGTATTTTGAAAATGTGGATAATGCGTATTGAAAATTTAATGATGCACAAGTTAATAAACGGTTACAATTTTGATTGTTCTAAACAATCTAGCCCTTTCCTACCTCTATGCATTCACCACTCTATGAATGTACAAATTTTCTGCTTATAGATCTGCTTTTTAGTTGGTTCTTCATTTTTTACTTTATTTTCATTAATTAGTGAACAAAAAATCATATTAAACTATATTGGTTTTAAAAACATAATTTTGTACTTAGATGAATGTTCTGCTTAATTTTTTTTATTTGAGAACAAAATACCGGTAAGAATATTTTTACTTTGCACTTATTAAATCGCTTTTTAATATTTACACAGCGTTGTTGTGCCTCTAATTATACAAGTTATACCCAATTATATATTTATACAAGTGTAATGATTTGCTGTTGTGTAAAAAATAAAGATTATTGATTGTTACGTTTTGAATTATTCTTTGCACTACAGTTACAAGCATGAGAATTATTAATATCAAGAAAAAAACATTCATTTCATTTCCATTGCAATAGCTTGAACATTACAGCTCATTATGTTATTCACCTAGCCAGGAGGATGATTCTTTTATCTGGTGTTCTCCTCAAGCCTAAATATGAACTCATAATACTTGACCTCTATAAAATGTATTATAAAAATTAATTAGAAAGGAACCCGCGAAAGTATGCGTGAAATTCATAAAGTGAATTGTACATAGCATACTTCTTTTAAAAGATATCTGGAAATTCTTGTTTTTCTACATCACAAATCTGATAAAAATACGGTGGTCAAATATGTAAATAGGATTATATTTTAGGGATCTTCCAGTGGTCGATGCAGCAAGTTAAGCAACTCTCAATAGATTGTATTAATCATTTTCTTCACATGCTAAAGCTTATTTTTCTGGCAGTTATTGCATCCAAATATGTCACATTATCAGAGGAATGCTTGCTAAATAAAAATTGGCATTTATCTGTCTGGGGGAAAGAGATGTTATATTACCATGGTTTCAAAGTGTAGGGATGGCTAGTATCTTCGACAGTGGACTAAAAAAATCCATAGAAAAACTTGCCCTAGAAGAAATAAGTTTCTTCCAATCCAAGAGGAAAAAACTTTTTATTTAAACACTTTATAATTGTAATCTAGATTAAATATTAACTTCCAGACTATTGAATGTTTCATTTTTTAATACACTAAAAAGCAGGAATTCGGAAAGAAAAATATCTTAAATAAACACAATGATAGTTTCTCCGTTTTATGTTAAGGAGTGTACTGGAACTTAATTTTATAACTATGTTAAGAGTTATTAAAATACAGTACAGAACCCGTTATCCGGAAATCAGAAAACCAAAAAACCGGAACAAAATTCGATAAAATTTCTCGCCATTTTAAATTTTTTTTTTCTTTTCCTTGTAAGATCTTACGATTTTTCTTTCTTTTTTTAAAGAGGTTTACCTTACCATCATTTGGAAATAATCATTAGTGTATTACTTCATTGTTTTTTCTTAGTTTTAAGATTATTTCCAAATTTTTTTATTTTTTCGTTTGGTTTAACAATAAAAAAAAACTGCTTTTTGTAGCGATTCAGAAAACCGGAAAAATCAGTTATCTGGAATAGCGATTCCGACTGTTCCGGATAATCGGTTCCCTACTGTATAATCAAATTTTATAATTACAATCCTACTAATCACTATATTATATTCAATATTACAAACAGTATGCTAATTTTAGTATTCAAACATTAAAAGTGAACACCAAAACAACTCTTGGTTAAATGCAGAAGATATTTTCAAACTGATATTACTTTTATATAATTGTAGTTGATAATTTATAATAAAATTAGAAGTTAGTCAAGAGTGTCTTTCTTTTAGAACTCGGTAACTCCAGAACTATTTGTACTAGCATTATGAATTTTGGATAATGGATGAAGGTATATTCAGCCCTCGATCTTGGAAATTATTCAAAAATTTCAATTCCATCCTTTGACAGAAATGTTTGATAACGGAATTTTTTAGAACTATCCCCCGGCCATTAATATGAATTAAACTGCCTACGATTCAGTATTTATTATAATTTAAAGATAGCATCAATGATGCAAAAAGGAGTTTATTGTAAATTCTTTAATATTTAATTACTTTTTTGTTCGTTATTTAAGATAAACTTTAGTAGTAAAGGTTGACTAAGTCACAATTTGTGTTTTTAAAGTTAATTGAAACCATGTGTTCATTTCTTTATAGTTATGCATTTAACGTGTGTTTCTATTCTTGGGAATTTCTCCCCCATCATTCAGGGCATCTATATTCAAGCTCAATGGCAAAATTGTTCATGATCAAATGGTCAGAAACAAGCCAAAGTGTTGAATTGTAATAGCCCTAATGTACGTCAAAAAGAACTTAAGCTAAACAGGAACATTGGTTTTCTCACTCTCAGGAGACACCTATACAGAATGGGTATTGAATCAAATCCTCTTTGTAAAGGTAATCTTGAAGAGGAGACTTCACGACATATACTCTGTGATTGTAAGGTCTATTCTGCTCAAAGATTTGAGCATCATTGCATTAAGGCCTGGAAACTGCAAGACATTCCTGTCGGGTGGTTGCTGAACTTCATTTCAGCCTGGCTTTCTTATTAATCATGATTATGGGTACAATAGACCTCTGGTCGATGTGCCCTGCTCTTTGGAGGTGCCCAACTTCTGAGTGTTTCTATAAAATTAAGTAATTAAAACAGTAAATAAAAATGGTGCATAGCTTTTTTAAAAAGTGCTTATTTTAATTTTTTAAAAGCCCTTAAAGGGGCTTTTTTCATTGGGTGTTTTCTCTTTTCGAAAATGAGATTTTTAAATTTACCATGTCCATTTTCGCCACATATTATGCGAAAGCGCACTTTTCACAATTCATTCAACGACAATCTATTTCAGCGTACCATCGGTTCATAGCGTATGAAAGCGCCAATCATTTTACAAGTTTGATGAAATACTGAAGAGTTCGCATGTGCTTATAATGAGCTGGGTTCTGTGAGATTCTTGTACTCTCATGTGCAACTCTGCTGTATTTTGTAAGATATTCTTAATTTCAGGCTTCATTTTCCACCGTCTGATATCGAACTGAAAAACCTCTTGATCTTTTTATAAAGGCTAATATAATCAAGAAAAGAGTTCTTAGTTAGTTTTTTATCATGATCGTCTTTGAAAATTATTTTGCATTTTTTTAGTATATAGTGCTTAAAAATGTTTTTTGAGTGCTTATTTTTTGTAGGAAGATTTGGCTACGCACCCTGATTACATATTGTGTTAACTGATAACCTCAGTGATTAAGATGAAAGTGGTAGCATAGGTGGACTTGGTCACCAAATTAGTATTCCTTCGGTAATCTGAAATATTTTTCTTTAATTATGTTTTTAATATGCATTTCCAAAGAACTTAATAATTTTAAATAAAATAAACAATAGAATTAATAAGCAAAATTAATGGAGAAGTAGTACAGCTTTGTTTAGAAGAAAGAAAGGTAAAAAAAATTGCCAGAATATTGATGTTTGATTAATTGCTACAACATACTAATCGAGAAAAAAAAAGTTTAATTAATTTTGAAATATTATTTTTACGAAAATTTGGAACAGATATCCATGTTGAAATTAGGACTGTTTTGCAGTCTCTTTAAAACATCCAAATTCTAAAAAACACATCCCATTCCCATTCATATAATTCTATCTTCACGAAATGTCACATTATAAAATTAATCTCACAAAATTGTTCCATGGCAGATTCTTGGAGAAAGCAATGAGACTTAGTCTAAAATTAGCATGTTGCAATATCAGAGTTAGGAAAACCTTGTGGAAAAGGCTGTAGAAATGTTGAATAAAAGACCAATAAGTTATAGTGGTGAAGTTGCAATAGAATTATCACGAATCGAACACAACAAAGTGAGGTGCATGAAATTTAAACCCCGTAAAAACATCTTACTAAAAATGAGAGCCGTAAAGAATATTCGTCCCTTATACCGAATATCCGATTGGTCAAATATTCCGCAGAGTATTTATTAGAAAAGTATTTTTAAATTATGTTTTTTTTTTAAGATTTAATTAGTAATCAATCTAAATTCATATTTTTTACTACTATGTTAGAAATAGTTTTTTTCCTCCACAGATGCGTGTTAAGTTCTAAAACTTGCAAATGGCTTACAAATTTATGTTCTTGAAAAGAAAAATTTGAAGAATTGAAACTAGATTACTTTATACTGAACCACGAATCATGTACTGCTTATATTTTTATTTATATTCAGGCATGACAAAATTTATTCTTTTAATAAGAATCTTTTCCTGAACAGTAAAAGCAGATGACTGGTAACATAGAAAACTGTGATCTTAAACATTAAAATTACATTTTAAGACCAATTTTTTTTATCAGCGTTACTCTTTTATGGTCATATTTTTCTAAAATTGCGGCAATTTGATACACCAAAAGAATCAAATCACAGAAGAATCACAAGTATGAAGCTGTCTCGCAATTACGATTAAGCGAAAATTTTAAAATTTAAATGTTAGATTAAGGAACTCACTGAACATATCAGTGGATTAAAAGTTTTAATATGCTGAAGTCCACGAATTGATGGTCTTGAGAAATGCAGAAATCCATGAAAAAAATCACAGGCCTCACCCCTAGACCTCAAAAGATGATACGAAAAACCTGGAATACAATCACCCTGAAAGAAGTACAAATATCAACTTCAAAACCAAATTTATTGTAAGTAAACATAATGCTATGTAAAATAATATGATTGAAAAAAAACCTCTTGATTTTGCTTTTCAACTTATTTACATTTTCTTGTATCGTGAAGCATTTAACAATAAATTAACAAACATTAATCATATTATTTTTTTCAATTGATGATAATTTAACATTTAAAAGGTCAGGTAGGAAAACTTAATGAAATTGAAATAATTAAAAAAATTTACTAGAGGGAATAAAAATTACTTTACATTGATACAACAAAAAATAAAAGTTACTGGATTTACATTCAATAAAAATTGATTTACATAGCACTTCAAGCCATACTGTCAATTAGAGCATTCCTCATATCACTGGTTATTGCTGCAGGTAAAACATCACCAAGTTTAAAAATGCTTTCAATTACTGAAATTTCAGTGCTGGTAGTATCTAGCCCACAAAAAGCACACCAATCATTTACAACCATACCAGCACCAATGACATCACTACCACGATTTACAGAGCCAGCAACTAATGGGATTTGCAATAGTGAAGAGAGCTCTTTCTGTTCTTCAGCTGATGTTTTTGGATGAACAAGTCCTCCTTGATTACTCAAAGAGCAGTAACTTCCAGTCAAAGTATTACTTGCAATAGAATGACCGAATACTTCAACTTTGAGAGTATCTGCTAAAATCTCTTCCGTTTCTTTGTCTAAATCAGGATGCGCGAGTGCGACATAATCGTTACATGCAATTACATTGCCTAAAGCTGATAATCGCTCTTCCACTCTTTGAATCTTAACTTCCTCTGGAAGAGAATTTCGAAGATGTTGCAGTTCTTGATCAGTTGTAGAATTTGGAACTAAAAGACCGTGTCTGTTACCTACGCACATTCTTCCGATGATACGACATCCAGCAATGGAAGTATGTATAACAGGAATGGTATCACCAAGTTCGCCTTCAAAGACACTGTAAAAATTTTCGGAGCCTCCTATTGCTACCAAACAATAAGTGTTGGTTAATTTTGAAAACACACCAACCTCGTTATTGTTTTCAAATTGAACTCTTAAAGCCATGCTCAAAAGTTAGCGTAAACCGCTAATTTTAATAAATCGAATTCGATTAATAAGAGAAAAATAATAGAATTGAACGTCACACGTGAGACTTGAGCTCGTCGGCGATTGTAAACTTTGTAAACAAATGAAGATAACCATGGAACAAATGAACTATATAACTTTTCAATCTCAGTCACTTCTAAAAAACTTTTTCAGTTTTTTAGTTTATGAAAGATATTATACATGGAATCAAAAACTGAAATAACCGATTGTACGGGTTTTTTCCTGTTGATATTTCGTAAAAGTATTAAGCACTACTTAATTATTTCACTTCACTTTTTTTTAAACTGATTGCACAACATGTTGAAAAAAAGCATTTGTGAAAGCAATATTTGTGGCTTGTCGCCTTCCAAAACGTTATTTTAATCGATGGAGGCGTATCCTTTTAGAACACATGAAGTGGTGACAAGCTGAGCTCAGGCTGTTGGTTGTTTATGTTTTGGTTTGCATTTCTTGTAACAAGCGAGGGGAAAACAACTTTCAAAACTTTTTATATATATCGAATTTGTTATTCTTCGGGAATAAAATGAAAATTTTTTGTTAATCTTTTCTTAGAAATAAATTTTGAAGTTTAAATTTATGTGTTTTATTAATAATTTATGATGAAGATGCAAGCCTTTGAATTGTCACTTATTCCTCCGGATTTAAGGAGGGAGGAAGCTATGGTACAGATTGCCGATTCTTTGGATTATACTAAAAGAATTACGGACACTATTTTTCAGAAGATTTTAGATCGTGTAACTGAATACAGTAAGCGCTTGCAGTCAGTATCCGATAGAGCAGACATTGCTCAAAGAAAAATAAACAAAATTAAAGGAAGCAGTAAAGCAACTAAGGTATCATTCTTTTATTAATATTTTTCACGGTAGAGAATGTTACATTCAATTTGATTAAAATACAAATGCAACCTTAACATCACATAAATTATTGTAATTTCTTTTTACAACAGTCCTGCATCTGTATTAAAATTATTATTTGAAGATAAAAACGCATGTATCTTTTTAAAAAATTGACACACAAAGTTGAAAGTCCTAAAGAATTTGTTTAGAAGCGGCCCAAATGTCAGACCCCGATTATCTAACATCATCAGTACCATAGGTTGTCGTTGTTGCTAATCTCAGAATCGTCTAGCAGCACTAGACAACTCCCATGGATCCGAACACCTCCAAAAAGTCCGTAAAGAAAACTGGAGTCTCGCGGGGGAAAACTGCGATATGCTCAGGGGAGGCCATGTCTGTTGAGCACGTTGCCTGTTGAAAGTAAGGGATCTAGTGTGGCCACTCGAGAAGCGTGAAAAGGCAGTTTGATGGTCTAAGATTGAAAAATTGATCTGATGGCTCTTGGTCTAAGATTTAAAAATTCTCTGTTTTTTTTTTTTTTTTAAGTACCATAGGTAGGTTGGAAAATTGAAATCTCCATTAGTTGAAGGACCTTTTCCTATGACTTTTTTTAGGTAAGATTTCTGTATACCTTTGCCCAAAAAGTCGCCACATTATATATCCTAATTGGTACTTATGTGCGCCAACTTAAATTGCCTGGGGGCCTAAGAGATTTTAAACTTGCAAAGAAAAAATATGTATCTAGAGGTTGTCTCAGCGGCAGTACCGCCTTTACGCATGGGCACACCCGGGCAGTGCCCGAGGGCCCCTAAGCACTAAGGGGGCCCTTGAGAATCTTACTTTTTATAAATTGTATTTAAAAAAACTAAGAATNGGATCTTTTCCTGCGACTTTTTTTAGGTAAGATTTCTGTATACCTTTGCCCAAAAAGTCGCCACATTATACATCCTAATTGGTACTTATGTGCGCCAACTTAAATTGCCTGGGGGCCTAAGAGATTTTAAACTTGCAAAGAAAAAATATGTATCTAGAGGTTGTCTCGGGAGTGGGCAGGATTTATTAGCTCCCTTTTGTTATGATTGTTAAATTTTTCTTGCATCATTACTCGAAAGTTGGTTGGTATTTTGGTGTAGTTATTTTTTACATGAATTTTTCCATCATCTGAAGAGAAAAAAAAGAACATTACAAAAGGAGACAAATTTGAAGGCTCGTAACCACACCTGAGCAACTTGTATCACATTTTTTAAAAAATTATTTGTTAGTAAAAAGACCTTTTGGCGATTAAAGCTACTAAATATAGTTAGAGATTATAAAGAAAAAAAACAATTGCATTCCTAGTAAGTAGATTTTAGATTTGTTGTAACAAAAATAATTGAATAACATAAGGCTTTCTCCTGTTCTTAAAATTACTCAGTGCTTTAAGTTGACTTAATGATTTTAGAATCGCCATAACTACTATCACATTTTAATTCATCAACCTGGAATTATGAGACCCAGCTATTGTCTTATTTAACCTTTTCCTTTTAGTTTTTTTTTTTTTTTTTGAATAAATAAGAATCTGTGCATTTTTTTCTGTGAAAGAAACTATTTCTTTAAAGCTGTAAGTAAGTTTTCTGTTTACAGAACTTATGGCTAAGTATATTTAAATGATCCTAGATGGTTTTTAATTAGTCACTTAAATATTATTTACATAATGATAATCTGTTATCACAAGAGTCTGTTAACTTAATGTCACTGCAATTTTAAAGCATAATTAAGGTGCCTGAAGTTTCAATTTCAGATCACATGTTCTTTACAAGATTATAAGGTAAACTTTAAGAAACTAGCTGACAGTAATGCTTTCACACTTTTTTTTTATGAAGAAAGAAATCTCACAGTTGAGCCATGTGTTCTTTATTAGGTATCTATTAAAAAAATCTTTTCAATATTTTGTTATCAAGGTGATTAGCCTAATAGACAGTAATTCTAACTAATACCTTTTTACCAAGACAGTTTCAAAGCGGTGAGTATGTAGTGTATCTACCTCAACAAATGTGTAATTCCAATTCACTAGTGTATAAGACATGTTAACTCGATTCTATGTTGTGGTACCTTTTCATAGATGAATGTCGACATTGTCGATGACTACTCACTATCCCCACATTGGTGACCCGGACGTAATGTGAACATGCCTACCTTGACAGTAACCCCCACTTCGAAATGAACATGCCTACTTCGATGGATGGTTCACATTGAACAGTTGACTTTTGACTGTGACGTTATCCTCCTCACGCTGTTGCTTGTCATTCTCAATCACACATAACGCGCAGCGTATACACTCAACTGCTACAGGCAGTGCAGGAGAAACCACGCCCGTGAACTTAATACTGCTCTCCCGGTCAGCACTCAAAAAGTATGGTGATCTTAATACAGCTCTCACGGCTTCTCACAAAACAGCAACAAATCAACTAGTGGTATCCGTTCATCGAATTCTACCACAGATTTACTTCTGGTGGGGGAGTACTGTAGTGTATCTACCCCTGCAAATATGTAATTCCAATTCACTAGTATATAAGACAAGTTAACTCAATTCTGTGTTGGAGTACCTCTTCATCGATGAATGCTGACATTGTTGTTGACAAACTACTCACTATCCCCACAAGTACTTGTCATCAGGTGGCTATAGATGTTTAGTTATAATATAAAAATAAAATGGAATTACTATGTTCTTTTTTAAAGAAAAAAAATTATAAATAACTTTTTTCTTATGCATTTCAGGTATTTTCTAGTTATAAATATCCTGGAGCGGAAGAGTTAGACGAGTACAAAGCATTATTTGTAGTTGACCCAGAGCTTATTGGTAAACAAGCTTCTTCTTATCATGTGAAATCCAAGCATATCACACCGGATGAAAAAACTTTAAAGCAGAAACTTCAATTTTACAATGTAAGAGTGCCTGAGCGTTTGAGAGAAAGGGATCAGTTGATGGAAGAGGGTCTGGGAAGTTTACCAAAAAATTTGAATTCTTTGAGCACTCTTCTTCTTTTTAACACTTCTGAAAATCCGTAAGTGAAATGTTATTTTATTTTCACAAGTAATAGACATTTAATTTTTTTTTCATTTTATGAGTAAAGATTTTAATGTTAAAAAAATTCTCAATATTATGATATAAAATGTTGATAAATTGTGGATATTGGGGCTTTAATTAGTTTGAATGATAGTTCGCTCCTGTTTTATTAGTTAAATGATTATAAGTTCTTATTACCAAAACTCATTTAAGTAGTTTTTAATCTATAATAATTGACGTACTGGAACCAAATTATTCAATCCTATTGCATCAGTTGAGAAAAATTAAAAACAGAAACTTTAGCTTTATATTAACCAGGGTGCGTAGCTTTTTTAAAAAGCGCTCTATGGTGCTTATTTATGATTTACGTTTTTTATAAGCCCTTAAAGGAGCATTTTTTTATTTGGGGTTTGTAAAAAGTGTTTAATTTTCTATCTTTTAAAAAGAGATTTTTATTCTTTGTAATTTAGATTGTTGTTCTAAATTACAAAAAATTCATTATTTTCACAATTTTCTTTGCGATATTGATCAGAAACTAGTTATATTATCATAATTATGTCAAACTTTTGAAAATCTTTTTGAATTTTATTGATTTTATGTTTATAAATTAAGTACTTTAAACGATGGAAAAAATAATTTTTACTACTGCACAGATCCTAATTATAATGTTTTTTTTGGAAGGTGATTAAAAATATTTTTTTAAGTGCTTGAAAAGTACTTAAAAGGTACTTATTTTTTGATTGAAAAACTGACTACGCACCCTGTTAATTAATGTTCTTTATTATCATTAAATCTGATGGAAGAAGTTCCTGTGTAAATTGATCTCTTGAAACGAATGATCAGGAAGTAGAGTAATTTTTCCATTATTTTTTATGTGGACAGCCATGTTTTTCAGCTTTGTTCAAACTGTCTGAGTATGTTTTAATGTCATAATTTAAATTTTTAGAAAATAGTTGAATGATGATGTTTATTTTTGTTAGAAAGCTATTAATATCTTACATGTAAAAACAAATATTAAAAATAGTTTATATTGGTATATGTAAAATAATAACATTAAAGAGCAAAATGCATCTTAGTGCCAGTGATTTTGACAAGGTCGATGATTGAGTTAAATCTGAGCTAAAAAAACACTTTTTCACACTGTGTGTATTTTTGTTTCTTACATCGTTTAAGTTTTACTTCCAGTACAAAGATTAAATTCCCATTTTTATAAGGAAAGTCTTATCGAAAAATATAACAATAATACACATTATTTCAAATGGTATATGTAAAAAAGTTTACCCTTTTTTAACCTAGTTTTTTTTTTCATTTAGATTTGCCTTTTTCATAATCCCTGTCTAGAGTTTTTACAAAAAATAAATTATTTAATTCAAAATGTATGCTCTTCTGATCCTGATGACTTCTGAATTTTCTGATTGACAATTTTGCATATTTTCAACCTTTGAGTAACATTGCTTATCACTTCTGATTTACGATTTTTCTTTAGCGTTAGAGATTTATGCTGCTTTTTTAATTAGCAAAAATTTATGTTTAAGAAAAATTTCCTTGAAACTGCTAATTACATTAAAAAGAGAGAGATATTATTTGAAAGCATTTGTAATATAAATGTTTTGTTGTTAAACACTAATTGTAAATTTTTTGCTGGTTCTAAAAGATGCAATAAATACAAACCACATTATCAAAGTTCATCTAATGAAAAAATGATCACAGAAAAAGTGATAACTGATGTGTGATTCACATTGAGTTTAGCTTAAAAATTCTTCTTAAAACAGCTTACAGAAAGCTTTTTAAAATTATTACTGAAATGAAAATGTGCCTTGTTAATTGTTTATGAAGTAACAAGTAAATAAATGTATAGTAATAAATGCCATGAAATGAAGCTTCATTATTTTTCTATAGATACAAGAAGTATGTGGTTTTAGATCCACTTGGGGCTGTCACCAAAACTAAAAAGAGCTTAGAAGAAGAAACTTCAAAAGATGAAATTGGGGCTGCTCCTATATCTATTAGTCAGAGGCAGACAATGGAAGCTGTTGAAAAAATGAACTATTCCTACAATCCTGGTATGGGTCAAGTACCGGAAATGGATGTTCCTCTAGCTTTACCAGATTTACCCGGTAATTTAGTATTTTTACCTTATATTTTTACTTTCTATTTTACAATATCGTTATGTTATCTACCATTTAGATGTAATGTGCTTATAAAGCATGTTGGTTTAATTTGTTTCTTTTTTTTCTCTCAGCATTAATGAATAATTTTAATCTTTAAAGAAAAGTTAAATATTTTTTAACCGACTGAGGGTTTGTTATACCCTACGTTGAGGTATAGAATTGTAAAACGCTTGGTTGGTGAAACATAAAACTGACACAAAATTTATGTGCTTTTGTCATTTTAACTATATTGTTTATTATTGCTTTTTGGATTGTCCCTCATAATAAATTTAAAAAATATGCCATTAATAGGTATTAAAATAAAAAAAATTGTAAACTATCGAATTTTTAAGATAAATTTTTTTAGTTTTGAACAAAAAACATAGTTGAAAAACGTTTATTAAATCTGCATATTAATTTAAAAGTGTTATAGTTCAGAGCAGTTAGTAAAAACTAATAAACTTTGTTAATTGAAATTATTGATAACCAAAATTGTATTTTTGTCTATGTATTTATTTTTATTTCTGTTTTTCTAAGGAGAACTACAGATGATACAAGGTTCAATAGCTGCACTTTATACGTTGCATTAATTTCTTATAATTATTATGTAATGCTTATAATGCATATAATTATTAATTTCTTATAAGTATTTTATCATTGCATTATGAAGTATTAGAAATTTAGTTAATTGAGATATAAATTCCTAACTTCTATCAATTGAAAAATAAAAAGTCAATCAATAAAAAAGTAAAACCAAAGATGTGATTTCATCAGAGGTTCTTGTTTTAAATGACTAATTTAGAACGTTTATATAGTTAAAGACAAAATTTAACGGATTGAAATATATTTGTTTTTTTTTTTAAAAGCCTGTATAAAGCTCGTTTTGCTTGTTATAGATTATATTAAATTTTACTTGTTTTAAATTTGTTAAATTGCAATTTTAACAGCTTTTGTTATAAAGTTACTTCCAAAGTCTTATTTTTCGTTTATAGTTCTATGTACAATTTACCAACATACTTTATAGGGTGTTATCCATTTTGTTGTGTTAAAATAAATAATCAAAACTTAACGAAATTGAAAGGAAAATATGATTGCTTTCATAAATTATAAATTAGTTTACACTATAAAATAGAACTAGGTAATTAAAAAAAAATCAAAAGAAAATTTGCAATTTCTGATATGTTTTAATCTTAGGAAATATAATGTCTTCTCTTTTTTTAATTACAAAGAGAGCATTTTATTTGTTGAAATTACTCATACATTTTTAAAGTTTGTAGTCAAAACAACGTTTGTTGCCAAATAAAGTTTGTAGTCAAAAACGCTTTTAAAAATGGTGAATTCCGTGTCTTTACAAAATCTCTGCCAATTACAGTAAACAGAAATATGATTTCTTAGTGTTCAGTGAGTGAGAGGAATAATATTTTTTTTATTTTGAATGTGTTCAGCCTTTGATGTTGATGTGATGATCAATGCACATATTTTTGCATATAAACTCAATCTCCTTTTTCTGAAAAGAATTGTAAATGAATGTTTACTTTTTTAGAGAAATATTTTCAAACTAATGAAGGTTTAAATATATTTTTTTATATTGATGTTGTTTAAATAAAAACCAACCTACAATCTGTTTTGCTATAATAAATACAATTTTTAAGGATGCAAATAAAATTAAACCTATGTAAGTTGACTACTTGCTGTATACCAATTTGATTTTTTTTGAACAAGTGGTCAACTTATAAAGAGATGATGCAAATGGTTTTACCAGTTTAGTGCTTCTCTGTAGAGATCTGCTAATCATTGGTTTGCATAGACTTTGGTGTACTCCCATGCAAAATTTATAAGTGCACCCTATCTTAGACTTAACATAAAATTTTTAAAATTATAATATGAAACAAAAGTATTTTAATGATGCATTTGGGTATTTATAATTATTAATTTTATTTTAATATATAATAATTTATATTTTTTAATTTAAATTATTTTAATTTATGAAAATCGTAAATGTGATAAAAGACAGAATTTAAGAAAGTTACTAAATTGAAATATTGTATACATCTCACTTACCACATTAAAATGAAATTTATCTTAATAATACAAGAAAATAACTCACTATCGTACAATAATTATATTCAAAGTTTAGTTACGGGTTATTATCATTTGGAAAGGGAATTTAAAAAAAAACATCTTATAAAATGAAAAAAAAATTATTATTGTAATTCATTGTGTTAGTTATTCTGGAGCGTGCTGGGACAAACCTTATGCTCGCCCATGCCACGGTAGTTGTGGGGTACACCACTGCTACTTCCTACATATAACTTACTGAACTGGTACTTTGTGACACTATATGTCATGGTATTTCAAGCTGTTTTAGAAGTTTTGGCTTATAATTTTTTTTTTCATATCTGTCGTTTTAGATATAATTACAGCTGGAGTGTAGCATCAGTTTTAAATATTTGTATGAGCTTCATAGGTTATTGTTAAGTTTCATATCATGTTGAATTGGGTCATTTCTGACCGAAAATTATGTAATTATTGCTATATTTTCCCAGGTGTCGCTGATGATCTTCTATATAGTGCTGATTTAGGCCCTTCTATTGCTCCCTCATCTGTTCCTGTCATTAATAGTGTAACTTTACCAGAATTGCCTGATATAATGCCTGAAATTCCTCAAGACATTCCTCCTATTGCAGCAGCTTCCGCATCTACTTTTAGTAATATTCCACCTGCTCCGCCTGCTTCTTTACCAGTTCAAGCACCGCCACCACCTCCTCCACCCCCGCCGCCTCCACCTCCTCCTCCGCCGCCGCCACCTCCTCCTCCAACACCGTCTTCTGATGTTGCACCTCCTGGTGAAGATGCTGCATTTGATACAAAGAAGCCCAGTCCAGTTTCAGAAGCACCAAAGGCAGTTGCTAATCCTGGAGATGCTAGAGCTAACTTACTAGAGTCTATAAGAAAGGCTGGCGGAAGTGGAAAGGCAAAATTGAAAAGTGTTCAAGACCGAAAAATAGAAGCTAAGAAGAAAAAAGAGGTTTGCTTTTAATTGTTTTTCTTGTATAATTTTAGTATGCTAAGTTTTGATAGTGGTAAATTTAAAATTAGGGTGTTTAAAATGTTCAATATATTTAATAAAATATGTAAAATGTATGTTCATCTGAAGAATGGTTGCCCATTTGCAAGATTATTTTTTTATAATTTTGCCTGGTAGAGACAAAAATGCGGGTGTGTGGTGTTGACTTGAGAGGAAAACAAGTATCAAGTTCTCTGATTGTAGGAGTTAGTTTATTGTAAAAGTTAGTTACTTTTTTTAGTATCTTATTGTAATGTGTAGCATTAATTTTTCTCTAGGGACGAAAATTCTGTGTGGTATTAATTCTGTTACAGTTTCTAATTTCACATGCTAATAGAAAGCTCTTAGTCTGCCGGGCACCCCATTACTGAATATAGGAATGAAAATTTTTAATATTTTTTATAATTTGTTTTGTTATTTTTATTGGAATCTGCTTTTATTTTTTTTTCTTATTAACTTTATATGTTATGATGTTTATTTTGTGTGATGCTAAAAATTGAAAAATGCAACCAAATAGTCATTGTCTTTTCATTCTATTATTATATATTTTTTTTTAAAGAAGCCTTTTTTTTTGTTGATATGGATTGATATTTTAATAATGTTTTTTATTGTTTCATTCCAAAATTAATATTTTATCACATTCTTCTATAAATGCAAACTATGATATGTCTGATTATTTTTTTTTGGATCTTAGACAATACATTCTTAATTCTCTCTTTTTTATCTTTACCTTTTTGTTTAAATTATTTTAATAAGTTTGGGAAACTTAATGAATTCGCTTTTCTGATTTTAGCCTATTTTTAAAGTATTCAATCCAGGAATATTTTTGAAATATATTTTTCTCATTTTATGTGCTCATTGTGAGCCCTGCTTTAAAGAAAATCTCAGAATTTGGAGGAAATTTTTTAAAAATTGGTTAGGTGAAAGCAAAGCTTTTATATAAAATTCTGTTGAATTAAAAGCATACCAAGGATTTATTGAGTAATTTTTCTTAAAAGTTTTGAAAACTTTTTTATTTATGCTGACAGGAAAGAACTGTTATCAACATTTTATTGCTTCCAAAATAGTTTAAGAGAAAACACTCTATGTTCATAAACTGTGTTAATAAAGAATAAAAAGAGTAAAAACATGAGATGTCTCATCTCTCGCGAATAACACAATCAGTTGAGCAGAGGGTCTGTAACTTGGTAAAAGATAAGCAAGAATTATGATTATTGCGAAGTCTAACTGAAGATGATGTTATGCAACTCTTTAAATTGATTTTAAAGTTCCTTTTAGACAGAATTTTCTCTGTGTTAATGAATGGAGAATTATGCAACAGTATTTTCCTTATACTTTTTGAAATAGAATGGGTTTCTCAAGAGCTCTCCATTTCTCTATTCTCCACATTCCCCCCCCCCCTGTTCGTTACCATGGTGTTCATAAATCTTGCTTTTTCTCCACCCCAGTATATTCCCACTCCTTATTGAAACATACTGTTATGAGGAAAAGGCAGAATTTCCTGTAACCATGGTAGTGAAGAGGGCAAAAGTGTGAAGAGTGAGAAAATCATGTAACATTGAGGTACCTATTTATTAAGAATATTAAAATTAAACTAATTACTTTTTTTGTTTAATTCCATTCATTGTTCAATGGAATATAGTTATCAATTGTTTAACTTTAGGGTTGTAGGTATTTTTAAAACTTTCTTTTAAGTTCAAAGTTCAAATATGATTACAATCTTAAAATGTAAAATTTGATAATTAAGTTCAAAATAATACATTTCGATGGATAAAATGAAACAAAAAGTATTCAAAAATATTTATTAGTTCTTTAATAAGTTAGAAAATTGCATTTAAGAAGATGTAACAATCACCCTAATTTGATAAGTGAAATTCTTCTGTCTTTTTATTTTAATTTCATATTCTAGTTTATATATAGATTTTAAGTTGAGCATTTTTCGGGGAATCAAAAAGATTTAGAAAAACAATCCGAAAACGTTTAAAATTTTTGTAAATAGTTTTTTCTCTTCAGTTTTAATGTAACTAACTTGAATTTTTTTAATCTAATTATATTTTATTTATATCGTGTTTTTATTCTCGATTATTTTATATAAATTTCATGCTTCTTTTTCTCTCATCTAGGAAGAGAAAACCGTTGCGGCTGGTGGCGGAGATTTAATGAGTGATTTATTTAATAAGTTGCAAATGAGAAGAAAGGGAATATCTGGTAAGGGTACTTTCTCTGTAATTATCAGCTGGCAATGTACTGTGACCAAGGCTTGAAAATCTAAAAATTTTTACATTCTCTGCCGATTTTTTTAGCCTTCAAAAAGCATGCTCAGATAAAACTTTTTTGTGCTCAAGTTGTTTTTCCCGAATGCATATTAATAAAAACATAAGAATGTACCTATTACACTAGGTTACAATTTTTTTTCTTCCATTGCATGAGATTTTTTAAGAGATCTTGAATCTTTTCAAGTGGTTTTTCTTTTCAAACTATGTTTTTTAATGATATTTTTAGTCTATTTTTGTCAAAATGTACAAGTTTAAGAATGTTATAAACAACAGAATGCCGTATAAATGTTGCAACAAACTACTAGGAAAGTAGTGCACATCAAAACTGCATATTAACCCATGCCAGAAATGTCTTAGTACGACGGTATTTCCAGACTTGGGTTCCTAGGTATTTTTCAACCTGATGATGTGCTCTAACTCCCCTAGAAGTTATTCACAACATTTACGCCGCACCCTGTTATATATAACGTTTTTAAACTTATGCATTTCGACAAATAATAGACTAAAAATGTCATTTAAAAAAAATTTAAACTTTAGGAGCAAAACTAATTTTAGGTTTGAAATCTCCGCACCTGAATTAGGCAAGATAATATATTTGTATAAATACAACAAAAAATTTGTCCCTCAGTTTTATTAATCTGTTAGAAGATTTTAACAATATTATATCTACATCAGTACTCTTAAGTTTGAATACTAAGTATTATTAACAAAAAAAATATTACCTATTATTAAAAAAGGTATTAAGCATGATTATACATTGGAATAAGTGCTGAGCATTAGTATTAACAAAGAACTATTATTATCATAAGTATTAAGCATTATTGGTAAACCCATACCTACCACATGCCTGTTTCCTTTCATGCAAAACAAATAATGCCCAATTTAAGCTGATGACTCAAAGTCTGAAAGAGACAAGTAGCATGGCATTTAGGTTTTAGTTTGATTTATGGCTTTGAATCCTCTCTCCCAGGCAGATTCCAATTAAACTAAACATTTACTTGTCTAACTGTGTATGAAGGACCGAAAATTAAATGGCCCCGATCGGAATTGATATTTTTAAATAGATAATTTTGTTTTCAATTATAGAAATAAATAATTTAATACTGAGCTTAAATCTGCTGCATTTCATAAGAATTTAATGATATTAAATAATTCTGATTAGTTTGACGTGAAGTGTTGCAATCGATGTGCTGTGCATACATTAGTGTTTAGTTGAAGTCTCGTATATTAGTAAAGTTTAGTTAAAGAACAGACAAAGCTTATATTATTTGGTAATTATCATTCTAATAAATACAGGAGTCTGTCTAGGTTTTTCTGAGAGGTACCTATTTTGTGAAAATTTAGACATAATTTGTGAAAATTTAAAATTATGTAAAAAAATCAACACAAAAATATCGATTTATCGTTTCTTACGGGATACAAAAATAAAATTTTACGAAAAGGTATTTTGTGAAATTTCCGTTTTTCCTAAAGTTGAATTTGTGAAGGTACCACAAAACGGTCGTAAATTTATCCAGGACAGACCCCTGAAATATCTCTATATATCTAAGTAAATTATCATTTGGATTTAAATTTCCAAGTTAGTATATTTTTAACAAGTTAATAAGTGTTTTATAATGATTTTTATTCTAATATTAATTTTAAGTTTTTTGTACTTCTCAAACCACATGTTTACTATCTTTTCCACCATTTACGTTTATTATTATGTAACTACATAACTGTCTTTGCTATTTACTGTCCTTTAATCAACTACCGTGTTCACTCTTTACCCGTTGCGCCGAATGTTTTCAAAATACACCGTATAAGTCGGAAATATGAGTGATAAAGAGCCTGCAGTGCTCTTTACTATAGAAAACACCATCGATATAATTATATTTAATTGTGATGTTTTTAGGTGCCAACAAAGCTGGTGCATCCGAAGGAGGTGTTGTACCACCCCCACCTCTTAATCCTGGGGCTGCCTTAGAAAAAATTTCTTCTATGATACCTCCTCCTCCCCTATCCAAGCAACAAGAAAGTACATCAGGGAATGACGAAAATGATGATGATGAGTGGGACTAAAATTTTCCTATTTTCGCTTTTTTTTGTAGTAAATTTCTTGTTAATAGAAATTATTGTTTCATGAAAATTTTATAATTTTTTTTAAATGTTATTTATATATAAATCTAATAATCGTTTGCCTTGCTCAGAGAATAAGTTCAAAAATTGATTCAGTGGAATTGCCTCAACTTAAAAAAAAATTTTGTTAATGTAAGTATAATGTAATTGTGATATTTTTTGTATGGAAGCATAAATATATTTTAGACAATTTGTATGCTTATTAAAATATTATTATGAAGTTTCTTTTTTGTGTGCTAAGCTTTTTTTTTACTAGGATTTTAATAATTCTTATTATTTGACTCAAACGAATATGAATTTTTAGATACTAGTTTGTCAGAATTCATGTTTGATAGAGATAATTCATATTTAATCCATGTTCTATTGAGAAAAATTAACATTTAATTGAGAGTCACAGAAATAATATGTTGTAGTGACTTCAATATAAAACATAAGTTTTTATATTTTTTAAAAATAAAATGCTTATTATTTTTGGAAATTAGATGTAAATATTTAAAATTGTTTTAGAGAAATTTTTTTTTAAAAGTAACTCCACTTGGAAAATTTGATGAATTCGTCTCTTATTTTAATAGTGGTTGTTCTAATAATGATCAATGATTTGAAAAATCAATTAATGGAAATCAGAAGAAGATAGATCTATATGAATTTTTACTTTTTGCTTAGGAAAACTTGTTAAATTTTTCTTCCCAACTTTGAAAAATATCTAGATAGTTTTTCAATAGATGGCCTTAAGTGCAAAGAAGCTATAAAAATATTTTTAGAATAACCTCCATTTTTAGAAACAATATGGGACAGTCTGAGGAATATATTAGCAGATATCATTGTAAATATTTCTGTTTGAATGATCTGACAAGCAGCAAAAAGAAATATTATTTCACAGTTTTTCAATCACCAGCACCATCTAGTGCCAAAATTTGTTGTTAATTTTATAACTTGATGCAAAAGATGTAATCTATTGAGAAGAATGCAGCACACTGCACATTTCTCCTTATGCGTCAGTATTCTGCAGAAGACCAGTTGAAAAGCATAGGTATAAAATTTTAAGCAAACATTCAGAGACTATGGATTAGCTATCCTTTAATTTTTTTATTCAGTGGCTTTTTGTAATATGTACTTTTCTTTCTTTTAATACATTTAACTTTCATTATTCTTATATAGTGGAAAACAGAAAAACTTAAAAAAGACTATACATAAATATATAAAATATTTTAATACATTATTTATCAGTGTTGTTTTAAAACGTCACAATGTTTTTGTTTCAAAACTGACTTTGTTTAGAAAAATTAACATATGGTTTATTTTAGCATGCTACTGCATCTAAAAATTTCACTTAAAAACATTTTTCATACTTAGTTTTAATGAAAAGATCTGTTGGTATATTACTTGCGTTTGCAACATTTCCTTTTAATTTCTCAATACAATCTTCATCTACATCTGTTGATTGGCAGGCCACCCAAGCTCCCCCTAAATAAAATTTAAAGAAAAACACAATTACGTAATAAGAATGTTGGTGGACAAAGAAAGCGTTCCATAAAGATCGCTCATGATATATGTTTTTAGAATTTTTGTTACATATAAATAACAAGTAATATAAAAAATTTGACCATCAAAAATGTATACTATTCAATGTAGAAATGCTAAATAACTGCCTAGGAAAATCTGAAGATGAAAGTTAAGTGTTTCAAATAAGCACAAATTTATTTTTTTTTTCTTTCTATCTATTTTCAATGTTATCTTCACCATTTAAACAATTTTTGAACATTTATATAATTTTTCTTTTTAAAAAAAGTTAAGACCCTCTAATGTTTTATTTTGTACAATGTGCAGGGTGTTTCGCAATCACTCCCCTGGATAAATTTTTTGAGAATCCTTGTCTGAAAAATGTATAAACATTATAAGCAGGAAAAACATAATAAAAATTTGTCGATTCACTACTGAGGAATGAAAAACATCGAAACCAGTTTGATTGATTTTTGAAACTTGAACTTGTTTCTAATAATAACCTTTCAACTTCTTTCCATTTCTTTTGGCTATCAAATAGGTTTTAGTTTTTTTGTTTCCATTTTCTCAGTAGCGTTTTGTTAGATTTTGATAGCTTTTTTCTTAGTATATTTTTTGCTTTTTTGTATACTTCGTATACCACGCTGTGCATGCTTTTTTTTTAATTTTAAAAATATGTATTAAGGACAGGCAGTCGTTATGGAATATCCAGTATGAGTCATTTTATCATGGTTTATTAAAATACAATATATTTTTTAAAAATTTAAAATTACATATATGAATTATTTATTATTTCGTTGCTATACAAATGTATTTAAATTGAAACAATTATTTTCCTTATCAGTTTTCGATTTTGTTATTAAAAGATGGATTATAAATAATGAAAAAATATTTACTTATGCTCATAGAAGGCATAACTTGCTCACAAGACCAAAATGCCATGCATCCACAGCTCTCATCAAAATCTGTTATTTGAATATTGTGTGGGAATATCGGACCTATAAAAATTAAATTAGCAAAAAATCATTGGTTAATTAATTAATCATTAGTTAAAAAATAATTAAATTAGTCGTTAGTTAAATCCTTTGTCTTTATTTAAAAAATTACAATTATTATTCATTTAACTACTGCAGAAAATCACATTTCTTGCTTACATTTTGCGATAATTTCTGTTATTGGTTAAGTTTAAGTTCTGCTGTTTTTGGTTCGTATGATACTCTCTAAGCTCATTATCTGAGTTTCTAGACAAGTTGACCTTTATATAATTCATAAAAAATAATTTAGTATCATTCTTCTATACTAAAATTGTTACAGTAGATAATAATTCAGTTTTGTGTTATTAAACTTTAATTAATTACATTATTTCAATAACGTAGTATTTTATTTTAAATTAAGGGCAATTTACTTTAAGTTATTATTAAAGTTGAGATAATAAACTAAAATATTAATATTTTTATTTAAATTTAAATTATTATCTCAATGAAAACATTTTCATTTGCATTTTAAACTGGTATCAGGAAGCAATGTTTTAAGATGATTTTAGCCAATTTTAATTTAAATTTTTAAAATTAAATTTTGATTTTTTTACTCTGTACTTTCTTAGCATTTGACATTTAATCTTTTATTTTACACAGAAGTTTATTTTTTTTTTAAACTATGGGATGGTTGATTTGTTTCCTGGAAACGCCATTTTCAAGTGAAATTGTTTCAGACAACTATACTTAACAAGGTATTCTATGATAAAAAAGGAAATGAATGTTTTGATAATAATGCTTAGTTTTTAAGATAATTGCCTATTCAATAAAAGAGGTATAAAAATTTTCTTTTTTTAACATTTACTTTATAGTGCATAATTTTTTTTCAATCAAAATTTTATTTTTAAAATAAATCAAAATGTTTTGCTTGCATTCGAACTCCCTTTAAATGCCGTTGCTTGTTCATTTCCCCCCTACTAACTAATAACTAAATAACGAACATAAACGATAATTTTTTTCCGAATAGCTCTCTGAAAATCGATACAAAAAATATCGATATAATAATTATTACGAACTAATAACTGAATTACGATTATGAATAATAATTTTTTCGAATTGGCCTGTGAGAATAAAATATTTAATTTTAAGCTAACAACTAAAAATAAGGGAAGAAATTCAAATTCACAAAGAGTGAAGAAACTGCAAAAGATCGTTGTTGTTAATTTACGTCGCACTAGAGCTGCACAATCGGCTATTAGCGACGGTCTGGGAAACATCCCGGAGGATGATCCGAAGACATGCCATCACAATTTTGATCCTCAGCGGAGGGAATGGCACACCCTCTTCGGTAGCCCGACGACCTGCGCGCGAAGTCGAGCACTTTACGGTAAAACAGTTTAACGAGGATCAATACTGCACACCCTCTTTCTCTACGCAGACTGATCCAAGTGATCACCCACCCGCTCACTGACCGCAGCCAGTGATAAAAATATTAAGAAAGGGGATAATTTCGTACTGTATTAAGAAGCACGTGTTTTGTCCAAACCGTGCTGGGTTAAATAGCATTAATATTGTTAACATACTGAAATATTGCGAATTTTTTTAATAATTTTTTGCAATGAGGAAATCATTTGAAACTTGTTCTATACTAAAAAGTGAGCGTCAGTTTTTCGAAAAATACTCATATGTGTCAAGAAATAAGTAATCAAAAGTTTTTAGAAGGATTTGTTTACTCCAAACTATGATGTTTTAAGGGCATATGTATAATTGACGAAAAGAAGGACAATTTGAGAATTTCTCCCTCCAGGAAGGCTATTTTCTCCCAATGAGTGATCCAGGAGTTTCCATATCTTCTGGATTAAGCTCAAAATTACAAGACAACGGAGTTTAACTAACATCTACTAGAAGGTTATTAGGTGGTTATGGTTTAACATTGGTAGTCGTAAACTTAGAATTGAGTCGGCGGTTCAACGCCAATTATAATAAAAAATAATGACTCAAATCTTGGTTTCTGTCTGTTCCAAAATACAAAATACTATGCATACATTTTTTCTGCACTTAAGAATAGGTTATAGTTATCTATAGGTTAATACTCACTTAATGGAAAAAATACCCCAAATGGCTCCAGCGCTTTCACTGTCATCTCACCTCGGATTGGTGGTAGTGTCAATTCAGCCTCGTCTGCTCTAAAATCAAACATATATTTTTATTTTACTTTTTTTTCTTCCTATTTTGTTTATCTTTTTCTGTAAACACTCAACCTTAATAGTTTTTTTTTCTTTACAAAATTTACATGCTGTTATTGTAGTTCTAAATATTTAATTAGTTTGATTATCATAAATTGACTATTCTTAGCATACTGAAGTTTTACCGATATATTTATCTGTTTTCCTGCTAGAAGGAAAAAAAAACCTATTTCAAAGAACACAGTAAAGCTCGTTTTTCCTTAAATTCCGAAATTGACACCACATTCTTTACCCAGGAACACAATTTTATTAATTTTCAAGTATTTACTAGTAATGCAATGAAGTGTATTTTGATTTGAACAATAGTTTCTCTTGTTTTTTAAAAAATGTATTAAAGATCTTATTTGAATAGTTAGCGAACTCTATCTTTGATCTATTTTAGATATTTTTATGATACAGATGAGATAGAAATGACTTTCAGGAACTTAAAAATTCTATTCCAATTCTATGCCAATTGAGTGAAAGTTCTACGCCAATACGTGCCACTCGAGAAGAAGACGATCACTGATACACACACACGTGACTTTAGTGCCAGCTGATCGTTTTTAAACAAGGCGGCGAGTTAAAGCCGAGCTCAGCTTCTCCACATAAGTTAGAATGCTAATTAACGTAAAGTTAGTTAAGCATTACGTCGTATCACCCTCTAAATTTGTTAAAATATAATTCTTTCTTGTCTACGCTTTTTACTTAACTTAAATTTATTATTTATTTATGGATTTTATTGTAACAGTGATATATTTTTGTTTTGTGCACCTGGCAACTTCGATGCATAGTTTGTTGGTTTATGTTCTACATGGCCTCGAGCCTGTCTCGGTATTAAGTAAGAAATATAGAGTGAAAGAATTGAAATCCTTGTGTGAGAATATAGAATGTGTCACTTAGGAGAATCGATACTTGACGGGTTTGTATTACTCGAAATAGAATAGAAAGAACAGTTACTAACGTAAGCAAATGCCACGTTTCAACAACCAATCAGGATCGAGATACCCACACTACATTACTTGCAGGTATTTCATTCTATTTTTTTAATTAGTGGAAATTCTCTATTCAAATTCCACAGTTCTAATAAGGCCTTCAATTGGTTTTAAAGGTCTATAGTAAGTCTATGAAATATTATTTTACGAGGAAATACAAATTTAACAATTTTACTTACTGAATGGTGTTAATAATATCTATACGCAACTCTGTGTTGAAGGTTATCCTTCGTCCAATTTTCATAAGAATGCAATGTGGAAACGACGGGGGAATGCTATCCGTGTGAGTAATCACGTGCCAATTATTCATAATCTGAAATCAAATTTATTACTATATTAAGATCTGCCTGTGAAATCAAGACTGGTTTCAAAATAATAGTAATGCTATTATTAAGGGAAAAAAACCTTTTTACTAAAGCAAATAACTGATAAAATTGATGCTATCACGCTGAAAAATGTTATAGCATAAATTAAAAGCAAGACAAAAATTTCGTTTCGCATCTAGCTCACAAAACTTAGCCTTTTCAAACACTGCAAATAATTACAACACTTCATATCATTATTTAGTTAGAATCAGAAATTTGCGCTATTATATTCAAAACTAGACATGCAATCAAATCACCCATTTCAAACCCATAACACAGAGAACTGTTTACTCCCAGTAGAAACATTCGCAAAATTAAAATTATGACTGGAAGAAAATGAATACAAAATCATTAACTTCTCAGTTAAACGTACTAAACATTAAATTTTTTTAAAAAAAAAGAGAAAAAAAACTCTTTAAAGTGTCATTTTATGGATCGAACAATGGTCATCTGATGGAACGAACAATGGCAAAATTTGCTAAATGTCTGAAAATTTAAATTTTATATCAGGTTCTGCATTTATTTTTCTGGTAAGTTAGCGTTGAATTTTCAGAAAGTATGTTATACAAAATATAATGGCTTTGTTTTACAAGACAGTACACGGTTGTTCAAAACATTATATTGATTTTTATTTCAGAAATCGCTTTGCTACAACATGTTTGAAAAGAAAATATTTCTTATACCTCATAGTTCTAATTATTTAATAAGTTATTTTTAAAATATTTGTCTTACATTTTGGTTGGAAAATATATAAACACATTAATTTCTTATAGAAATTGCCAAAATATTATATAACTTTCAGCAGATTTAAATTTCTTTCTTTAAAAATATCTTTTTACTTTAGTTAGATGAAAAAAATTTTTTTTTTCGTCTGCGCATTAGTTTTTTTAAAAATGCCGTTTGGAACTGACCTGAAATGAGAAAAATATTGAATTCATGGGGTGAAGGCTTGTTTATTTGATATTTTCAACAGGGAGAAAGAGATCTAAAGATGCGTTTGAAAATGCATTGAAAATAAAGATAGATTTTTCAAAAAAATTCAGTCAAGGATGCAAATGTTTGCAACCAAATAACATCGGCTACAATATTCTGATGATTTTGAATTAGAACTAATGTAGTAAATATAGTACATTTACCATTTTTTTTAATTTCGTTTGTCATTTCAAATTTTACCATTACAATAATATGCACGCGAACACCCTTTTTTTCACATCGTGAACTCCTAGGTATAGAAGATGGACTGGGAAACAGTCGGTTGGGGACCCCTGCCGAACTAAATACTAGATCAATAAGCTGATTTTTGGTGATTTATTAACTCTATGCTCCGATCGATTTTGATAGTGATTAATCAGAATATAACATATTTTTTTCCAGCGTAAATATTGTTACGCGGGAAGATCCCGAGTAACAAGATTTCAAAAGTATATTTTAAGGGCAGTCTTTACGAAGCCCCCTGTACATTTTCACGTAAACTGCGATAAATATCTTTGATATTTTAATTTAGTTTCATAGAGCAATCGGTAATTATACACTTTATAGTATTTTGTAGAGTATATTTTTTTTTATCTTATGTTTTATAGAGTAAGAAGTACAATACCTCCTGTGCTTTTCAAATCAATTCTGTATTTTAATGGAAAAGAAAAGCTGCAAAATAATTTAAAGCTTTTTACTGTTAAGTATACGTATGAGAAAATCACTCCTCTCTATATATATTTATCTTATGTTGCACCATTCTATACCTTATAGTATTTTTTAGAGTAAATATTTTTTATCTTATTTTTTATAGAGTAAGAAGTACCTTAATGACTCCTGTGCTTTCTAAAGTAATCATGCATTTAAATGAAAAAGAAAAGCCTCAAAATAATTCAGAGCTTCTTACTGTAAAGTATACGCATAAGAAAATCAGTTATCTCTCCATATGTATTCATCTTATGCGGCACCATAAACTCGGGTATTTCTTTATCTATTGGCAACACTATAGTTATTATTTTTTAATTGGTTCTCTTAAGTAATTATTTAAGCAGTGATGAGCAGTTAATTATAAGCTAAGTGTTTATTTAGATGCATTTTGAATTTTTATATAAATAGAAAGTTAGCTACAAAGCAATTACTTAAATGTATTTTTGTTTCTTTCCAAAATGGCTGTTTTTTTTAAATTTTTAACGAGTTATAATTAAAGCGATAAATGAAATGTCCAAGCACGAAATTTATGAAAACGAATCTCTGCAGGTGTTTTGAATATAAAGGGAAATAGGGAACAAAAATAATAATAAGTGAAAATAATAAAATAAAAATTATGAGAACTACTTTTTAAAGTAAACTAAAAAGAAGAAAATATCTTTATTAGTATGGACACCTAAAACGAAAATATAAGTCACATCACTTCTGAAAGACGCAGGGAATTTTCGGTGGTGTCAGAAGCTAATTACGATGATGTTGCACATTTCGTTTTTCGCTTTTGGTGCGATAAAAATAGAATTATTTTTCTTTTTTTAGTCCGCTTGAAAACCGATATTTCTCAAAATTTCTATTTTATTTTATTATTATTTTTCTTTTAATGCTTGTGAGTTTTTGTTTATGTTAAGAAGTAAGGTAAATTTCATTTGGCGATGAATAAAGGGCGATAAATTTTGGTTGCAACGTTTTAGGACGAATTGTAACTGTAACTCTAGCCAGGCCGAAAGTGATCAGTTTCCATAAATTTTCTTGCACCACTCAGGAAAGTATTTAAATTTTTATTACCGTCTAGATTAGGGATCCGATAGAATGTAAGTACTCTAGCTATTCGGGAGTTTTCAAAATTCCGATGGTCAATAACCTTCTTTTGGAAATATTATCGAGATTAATTCTAATGAATACAAATTTAAACGTTTGCAGCCTGTAATGCTATTCAGCAGAAAGCTCCAATTAAAATTTGAGTTAACAGAATTTTGATTAATGATAAAGATTCCTTTTGGTGATAATATCACAATAAATTCTATTTCTGGCGTTCTAGAAACATTTGAAACTAACATTGGCAATTTCCAAATTAGCTGAGAGCGTTTACAAAAATTTGAGCATTCCAGAAAATCGGAAAGTGGTCTAAATTTTAATTGCAAAATTCCATCGTCAAAGATACGAAAGTAAACATAGTACTGGTGAAGACCACGTATTCAAATTTTCAAATTCATTTAGTCATATAAGTAAGTTTAACCTTTACCTTTGGAGGAAACACTGTAATAAATGTATCATTACATGTCCCAGCAGTTGGAACTAATGGCAGAGCGGAACATTCTTTCCAAACTACAATCGATAAAAATAATAAGATCATTCTGGAATACTCGTGTCCGTTCCAAAGCAATCTCGATCATATAACTTCAAAGAAAGCAGATTGCGGAAGTGTTTCAGATTTTATAAGCTATTTGTTCAAATATTGATATGATTGATGAGCATTTTGAATAATTGAACTTTTGGTATTTGTTTTTATTTTCTTGTGCAACCGATTGTATGAACATAATACGTGTTCAATAAACTTCCTTTTTTGAAAAAGAGGCAAATAGAGAATTTTGCGCATGGATTCGTGATAATATAAACAATGTTTTGCACTGTATTGATACAAATTTAAAGATAAAAGTCCATAAAACTATGGAAATTTTCAGCATGAAATATGAGTAGGCTATTATACAACTCAACTGTTTAAAAAAATGCGTAAATTTTAAGGGCTGGTTTAAATATGGCGTCGCAATTACTTTTCTGTAGAGAACATAGATTGTATGTGGATGAAAATGGATGCCAGTGGCTGAAAAAAAAATTTAATGAAAGGATTACACCAAATGAGATTTAAAAATTTACTCCAATGGAATTTTTTAGTGATGTTAATTTACGAGACTTATGCTAAAATAGTATGAATTATTGAGCAGTTTTTTCCGATGTATATTTAGTAATAAATCTGACTTAAAATGCTGTCATTTCTCTAAATTGGAAATGCTTTATTAAATGTTATTATTCGTTATATATTCATAGTAAATCGTTATATTACATGTTATATCAATAAAAAGATATAACCCCAAACATGTTTAATTTTTTTACTTTTTCTTACTCTTCATTTGATCATCATTTTCTTTTATGGTAGGCAAGCCCTTCCTAATATATATGTTTCTCTCATATTTAGCGGTCACTCTTTGCATGCGAGCATTTAAATTTTCTGTGTCAAACAGTGTTTGTTTCCTCCTGTCAAAGATGTAGTTTGGGTTGATTTGAATAGCTGGAATGATTCTGACATTTATCTGTCAAACTTTTTTTTAAAAATGTTGGCATATTCCCCAGACTCCTTTACATTTTCATTTGCAATTGGTTGGCAACAAGCTTGTTGCGTGGTAAATTATAAGTGATGATTTATAAGATTAGAAAAGTAAAATCTTAATTTGCTTTTTAATTGTAACGTAAGACTATTTTTTTCATTGTCTTAAATAGTAGTAAATGTTAAGTTATTCATGAATAGGCTTGTTACGTATTTTAATAATCGTCATTAATTTCCGCTTTTTTGATTAACCAATAATAGGCTTGAAAAAATTCAAATGACGTCGTGGTATTAGTGGATTAGTGTAGACGCATGCTCAAGGGGCTACAATGCTCAAATTCATATTAAGTGTTAAGATGGATTAATTACTTTCACAACAATTGATAGGATAGATATTTACTACATCAGATTGATTTTGCGAAGACATTAATTTATTTACAAGTTATTTTTGCCATTTTAACCTTTTATTAAAATCGATTTATTTTAGTAGATTATGAGAAATTTAAGGAAAATTAATATTTTAATTGGAAGTAAAATTTTTATAGTTCAAAAAGTTGATTACCTACGGAGCTTAATTATTTTATTTTAACAGAATTAGAAAAATATTTCGTTCTGAAAGTCTTTTAATAGTTCATTCAAGTAATTATTAAGGCCCGTCACTATGTTGATGTGTCATATTTTGCAAAAAAAATGGTTTTGACCTTTTTAATCCTGCATTCCTCACTAGTGATTCAATAGGTTTCTTTTTTATTACCACTTCCCATACGCATACTTTTTTGACTTTATCTTTGTCAAAGAACCCAAAAATGTATATTAGCATATATATATATAGCATGACATACTAATCTATGCCATAGGGAATTCATAATTTAGTATTAAGAGTTGCAGATTAATATTTAAGCTCGAAAAGAATGAAAACAACGTCGCAAGCTAACGAATCTCTACTGAAGATAGCGGTATTTTAACTTACTTATTTGATTTCAAGGAAAACAAAGAGAAGTTAAAAGATGATTAATATAAACATATTTAAATTTCTCAAAGTAATCAAAATAAAGTTGGCGTCTTTTCAACATGGTTTACATATATATATACACCGAAGAGCCATTACATTATGA